CAGGCGTCCATAGGCAGTAACCGTTTACCATCAGATGGGCCGTATACTTGAATGCCACCTACGCGGTATAAAAAAAAGGGACTTGCTCTAAACATATATATTTAGTGTTCTGGGAGTGCTATAATGTATATTGAATTTATTAATATTGTCTTAACTGTACAACAGTATGGTGACCTGTAATTGCAGACAACTGTACCGAGTAGTTTTACTGCAGACTGTGGAGTTTTCATATTCTTACCTACATGTAGGATCGATTCCAAAATATAAAAGTAGACATCAAATGTTAGGAATTTTTATTTCCCGGCGCCAGGTGAGGGCGGGACGGGGCGGCCGCGTGGAAAATATAGTGCAACAGACGTAATATAATTTATACGGGGGATGAATAGTCACGAGCTAGAGGGTGGAACGGCAGTATATACATATATATTACATAAAAACTTATAGTTGTAAAACATTTATGATGGAGCATGAAATTTACGGAACTATGTTTATTATTACATACGAATATATACTGATGATTATTATTATATATTTATAATTTATGGACGTAGCGGTGTAGCGGTTTACTACCTCGAATTACACCCAAAAAAATTGTCTCAATTTTTTAGAATAGAATATAAAGATATTTATTCAAATAAACTTAAATTTAAACAGGTTTGAATAGTTATACTTATTTCTTTAATCTACCGCTCATTCGGAAAGCTTTCTCATTACAAGAACGGGTATGAAACTTGCGTGTTGTTTTTTTTTACTGACTCTCCGTGAAGAAATGACCGATAGCAAACAAAAAATTAATCCGAGAGACGGCGAGAGGTTCGTTCTAAGCCATATTGGATTCAAATATAGGTACCGAGTGAAATGTGAGTATGTCAAGTGTTAGGTTTACCACAATATCGACAACTGACAATGCTTCTGTCAAGTTCATTTGTGTTTAATCCTTACTATTTTGAATACGAAAGCAACTCTGTCTGTCTCGCTTTCACGCCAAAACTACTGAACCGATTTATATGAAATTTGGTACACAGATAGTCTAGACCCTGAGAAAGGACATAGGCTACTTTTAATGCGAATAGAGGGTGGTAAAGGGCTGAAAGGGGAGCTGAAGGGTTCTATGGAAGTATCGTCATTTTTAAAACTAGAATCTGGAAACTTATTTTTAGGTTGTTCATTAAATATAAATAAATATGACTATGTTTGTAAAATTGTTACTTCTAAGGGGGTAAAAATAGGGGAGGAAACTTTGTATAGAAATAAATAGTCATTTTTTGAAGCTATAACGAGGAATCTTTTTTCTTTGTCTTTTCTGGGTTAAATTATTAAATATTTTTTCTGTATTTTTTCTAGTTTAGCTAGCTAGTTTGATAATAATAAAAAAATGTGCCTACACTAGTAATATTTCTGTCAACACTCGAGACCCTTCCATCAGTTCCTCTCCAGATAACAGATTTACTGTTATCTGGATCTGGTTGACAGAAATATTACAAGAGTAATTCATCATAAAGTCAATCCACGTTGCAACTCCATATTTACTATGACACCAATTTTTCGCCTCGCCTCTTTCCAGAACCTTCCATAAACTCCCGAAACTTTCAATAGAAATAGTATTCCAAACGAATTCTATTTTGTCTTACCCAATTCCGTTATTAGGTAACTATTTTCATAGACATGCAAAATTATTGTCACAAATATGAAGTAGAATAATATAGTGTTGTGAATTATGACAGCCACATACTTCGGCTGCCAACTCAATGCGATGGGTCGGTTGGCAGAAATAGCTACTCGCTATGCAAAACATCCTATACTCCAACATGACCAAGAATTCTATACTTATAACGTCATTTAACCTAGTTTTTGTGTATTTAGAAGCTTTAAAATAAATAAATACAATATGTATAGTTCTTACGCTCTCTATGGAAAAGAATGGCGAGTCAGAAAGGTAAGTCTTGCCTATAGACAAATAATATTAATCTATTCCAAATTTTACCACAGACTAACAATATACAAAAAAGTACGTATATTAGTTTTTACCGTTTTTTAATGTACTTTTTATGCAAAAATAAAACAAAAATAACATTTAAATGCAATCAAATAAAGATCGACTGATCAACTTATTAGGGTCACACAGCAGTGCTCACGTCTTTCTGAAGCTCTTCCGGCTCTTTAGGTGATGTGTTTTTCAGACTACTCCAATAATGTTGACCACAGCTGGCCTTTACAGCTTCACCGGACGATAGAAGAGTGCAGATGGCACTCCAAAACCAAAAGAACTTATGGAGAGGCTGAAGGCCAGCCCCCGCCTGACGAATACGAATTCAGTCTGAAGGCACCTTGAGGAGTTCGAACCTCGGCTCTGGCCGTTGTAATTTCGATCCCCGTGTGAATCGGACGGGGGATCGATCGAAAGGGCATTATGTAGTAGGTTTCGGGAAATAAAACACAAAATATTTATAAAAAATATATCTTATATTTAATGAACATATTACAATAATGCACCGCACTGTAAACTGCGATATGTTCTTCGAAAGATCGCATTTTTTTTCATGAAAAGTACGCCTACAGTTTCATATGTAGAAATACTTTATTATTACAAAATAAGCCGCTAACAATAGTGAATACAACGAGCAATCATGTCATTGTACATGTTGAAATTTATTTCCACTTTTCAAATATTTTCCGCAGTTTTTTTTACAATTAAACCGTGAAAAACTAACAAGTTACAATCATTTCTCAAAACTATACATTTTAAATTAAAACGAATTCATGTGAATTATGTTTACCATTACGGTTCGCCATCGACAGGGAATTTCCCCACACGCTAGAACCATTGCACGGTGCGGTTTCCGCTCGCCATCGACATTGTGGAATGAACTACCTGCCGAGGTTTTCATACACCCACACGCTACAAAAAAGAACGTGGTCTAAATAGTCGTGGTTTAAACCTCAGACGGAATAAACCTAACATTATTACGAATCCAGATCTAACTACTTAGTACTACAGTTAAATCGTTCATTATGTATTCCATACAGTACACATGTCGGTCACCGTACAATTACGTTCCATTTTACCAGAAAACTGAAAAGATCAAAAATAATATTACTATAAACTAAAAATAAATTTATTTCTATTTATCTATGTCTTCATTATAACTATTTCATATTAATGAACTAAACAATTGATGACTAAACAGCATGGGGTTTTAGTGAAAAAATAACAAATAAGTCTTTTAGAGAATTTAAATAGTTTTAGTTAATATATTTTTAATTTAGTTAAAATATTTTTTCTTACAATAGAATTTTTAAAATGGGTTTGTATAATGCACACCTTTTTGTAATAAGAAATACATTGGTGAATGGTTTATTACTAGTGCTGGTTTATTGAGGCCGCTGGTGTTGATAGTTTTTGACAATCTTTTTGATAGTTTTTTATATATTTTTGAATTGTATATTTTGACTTTCTGTTTTTATATACCGTTTGTTTTCTAATGCCATATTCCTGGTCTTTTCGTTTTTGCCTGCTAGCTGAATATACACATTTTACCTCACCTAGGAACGTGTCTCATTTTAAACCAACTTTACGGTAACCATTTACCATTAAATGGGCCGTAAGCATAATTTCCACCATCGTAGTATAAAAAAGAGCTCCAAGTTTCCACAGCTTATCAATGACTGTAATATCTTGTACTTCAATTCGATTCCTTCATAAATTCTTAAAAGTAATAATTTTTATGACACTTTTTTTGCAATGTGTACATTAAAAAATAATAATATTTCTAATTTGATATGGTATTGTATAATTGCTTCCTAAGGTATATAACTAGCTGATCTGATTAATTTGTACTTTATTATTACTAATATCATAAATGCGAAAGTAACTCTATCTATCTGTCGCACTTTCACGCCAAAACTACTGAACTGATTTAAAATTTGGTGCACAGATAGTCTAGTCCCTGAGAAAGGATATAATACGATAAAAGGGTTGTAAGGGTTGATGAAAGGTTGTATGGAAGTATCGTTATTTTTAGAGCTAGAAGCTTGAAATTTATTTGGGCTGTTGATTAAATATAAATAAACTAGCTACCCACCCGGCTTCGCACGGATGGGCATGTATTATAAACCTTCATCTTGAATCAGTCTATTTATTTAAAAAAAAACCCCTTCAAAATCCGTTGTGTAATTTTAAATATTTAAGCATACATAGGGACGGACGTACATGTAATTAATGATAAGACATTCTGTTTGTAAAAATTTGACCCTTAGGGTGGAAAAGAATAGGGGATGAAAGTGTGTTTGGAAATTTGTCCCTTTTAATGCTAGAACGATGTCATACATGTCTTATTTGTAAAAAAAAATTATCCAAGATCATTATTCCACGTGGACTGGATCGCGGGCACCGCTAGTTTATTATATACTATTTCTAACTTACTGGATTTATGCAGATACTAGCTATTTGCCCCGGCTTTGCACGGGTGTACATATATTATATATATAAACATTCCTCTTGAAACTATATCTATTAAAGAAAAACCGCTTCAAAATCCGTTGCGTAGTTTTAAAGATTTAAGCATACATAGGGACGGACAGACAGCGATAGCTACTTTGTTTTATACGATGTAATGATGTCAAAATTGAGCTCAGTTAGTGCTAGAAACATGTAGTATGTGCTTGCAAAATTGGCTTAATACTCAACCGAAATTATATAAGTATATACATAAAGTTAAATTTAAGTAATGTTTGTAAAAATATCATAATTGGGTTTACTTTACTATGTGGAAAAAGGTGTTTTATACCCTGTAATTCCACTGACAAATGTGGTCACGGGTTCAATTCCCCACACGGTACAAACATTTGTATCCATGAGTATGATTGCTTGTATCAATCTGGGTGTGTTATTTATTTATAATAATTTTCTATATATGTTTGTATTTATATACATATTATATATAGAACAATAGGATTGTTTGTATTGGTCTATGTGTATTCTAGTAAATTATCAATGCATTTCCAAAAAAGAAATGTATTTAGTATATCTAACAGTTATCCCATAATACAAGCTCTGCTTCTATGACGATATCGGTGATCTAGCGGTCTAGCACACCGCTTTACGACCGATGGTCGCGGGTTCGATTCCTTGCACAGCACAAACATTTGTATTCATGAGTAGGATTGTTTGTATCGGTCTGGGTGTTTTCTATGTATATTACGTATTTATTTACAAAAAAACATTATCTATATGTATCAGTTGTCTAGTACCCATAACACAAGCTTTAGCTAGCTTAACTTGGGTCTAGATGGCGATGTGTGAATTGTCCTGAGATTATTATTATTTCTCTGCTTGACTTGGGCGTAGACTGTGTAAATTGTTGCTTATTACTATTATATACACCTTTCATGCGTACATACAAGGCAGAACTAGGTCAGATAAAGATAGATATATAGATAATAATTATTTGTATACTTCAGTTACTCTGCAGGCGACTTCATATATCCCTCTGGTAAATATCTGAATGCTTTTGAAAAGAACTTAAGAACAAACGATAACAGATCTTTTACATTTGAGGATTATCGTTCTATGGATTATTACTGGGTTACTAATCCATTTGACGGTAGGTTGTATGATGGTAGGATGACGATCATCGGCGCGTGTTGACGGTGCGTTGCACTGATGACATACCGTCCACGAACTTGGTCCGGAACAGCACGTTTGCATTGTTGAACATGCCGTCTTTCAGCGACACGATTATGAACTGCGAGAACAAAATATATTGTTTTATTTCCAAATTTATATTTATTTCTACATTTGTTTACTAGGAAAAGAAAGACATAAAAGAAAGAAAAGAAAGGAAAGAAAGGAAAGACAGAAAAGAAAGAAAAGAAAGAATGAAAGAAAAGAAAGAAAAGAAAGAAAATATTATTTCAAGTGGCTCCACTGAAAATCAGCGCTGTAGTGACACGCTGCGGCACCAGCTGAGTGGAAGCCTTTTCAGCATAGCGAATTATTAGTTTTTAAGTTTTCTTTTTTACTCTGTACTCTTTGTTATGCTGAATAAATGATTATTATTATTATTAATAATAATAATATATTTTTCATTAAGTTTTCGACTCATCACGATGATTATTATATGTGAAAGTAAATTTAACACACTTTAATATTTAGTCAGTTTCTTAGTCATTAAATAAAATTATATAAAACACAGACCTGCGAGTGTTTGAAGTGTTCCTTGAGCATCTGTCCGATGTTCTGCGTGTGGGAGAGGTCTAGCGCGGCGTCGACCTCGTCGAGGATGTAGAGCGGCGCGGGCTTGAACAGCAACATGGCCAGCACCAGCGACAGCGCCACCAGCGAACGCTGCCCCCCGGACAGCTCGCCCAGGGACTCCTTCCACGTGTTGTTGAACCCCACCTTCACCTGCGACACGACACGCCACACTCAGAAGTGACTTTTAGAAAGAGGCTAATGGAAAACTACCCCTATCGAGTCATCTTCCCTGTGGTTTTTCTTAGACACCATTATCTCTACTCCTTACTAGTATTATAAATGCGAAAGTCTGTCTGTCTCGCTTTATACCAAAACTACTGACTGATTTATATTTAATTTGGTATACAGACAATCTAGATTCTAAAAAACAGCCTACTTTTCAATTCAAAAAAAGGGTTGTAAAGGGTTGAAAGGGGAGATTAAAGGTTGTATGGAAGTAATATCATTTTTAAAGCTAGAAGCTTAAAACTTCCCTTATGCTATTGATTGAAAATAAATAAAGGACAAGTGTTGTAAGGGGTGGAAACGGGAGACGAAGGGTTGTTAACTGGGAAAAAATAGTCATCTTGAAAACTAAAAGTTTGAAACTTATTAAAGCTGTTGTTTATATATATTTATAAAGTAGAAAGGGTTGTAAGGTTTTGAAAGAGGAGATAAAGTTTATATGGAAGTATCGTCGTTTCTAATGCCATAAGCTAAAAAAACTTTCATTTAGGCTATTGATTAAATAGAAATAAATATGGGGTACAATGAAATAGGGGATGAAAGTTTATAGAGAAAATAGTCATTTTTGAAGCTAGAACTATGAAACTTTTTTCTTAGATCATTGAATATTTTTTCTTTATTTGGCCAAGGCACAGTTAGTGTGCTACGATCTGACTTATGTAATGCATGTAGGTATATTGGTTTGGTTGTCCCGTAGGCGGGCGGGGTGCGGTACCTCGAGCCCGTGCAGCACTGAGAGCCCCGGGGGCGGGCGGAGGGCGGCCTGCGCGCCCGGCAGCAGCGCGCTGAAGATGGAGCCGAAGTCGCGGTTGACCTGCTCGCACGCGCCCACCAGCGTGCGCTTCTTTTTCTCGTCCAGCTCCGCCATCACCTGCACCAGCTTCGCGCGGTCCGCCTCCACTATTTTCTTCTTGCTCATAACGTCTTGATACTACGGAATTATGTATACTATGTTAATGACGTTTGTATGAGCAGTTCGTTAAAGAATAATTATATCTGTAACACTAATTGAGTACCGTCTACTGAGCATTACGCGTCCTAGATCCGTGTCACTTCACCTTACGTTTCTGCAGCTGCTGCAAGCGCTGCAGCCTTCACAGCCTATTGACCTCCTCCTCCTCGTTGCCGCTGCTACTGACCTCCTCCTCGTTGTCGCTGCTACTTACCTGGTCCTGGTTGCTGCTACTACTGACCTACTCCTCCTCCTCGCCGCCGCTACTGCCCTGCTCCTCCTCCTGCCGCCGCTACTGCCCTGCTCCTCCTCCTGCCGCCGCTGCTGACCTGCTCCTCCTCCTGCCGCCGCTACTGCCCTGCTCCTCCTCCTGCCGCCGCTGCTGCCCTGCTCCTCCTCCTGCCGCCGCTGCTGACCTGCTCCTCCTCCTTGCCGAGCAGCGTGTGTGCGCGCGCGTTGAGGCCGCGCGCCAGCTTGTCTCGCCGCTCCTGCAGCTGGTGCAGGCGCTGTCCCGCTACACAAGCACCGCGAGCTCCGAAGTCGTAGAGGCCGCCCGCAGCGCCGAAGTACTGCTTCTCGCTCGATATCCATGTGTGCTCGTTCTCTAATGCCTTTATCTATTTAAAAAATAAGATCGGGTTTGGCATCAAAATACTCTAGCGAATGCACTCGTACGGAATAATTAATTTGCATAATACCAGAGGGATTATGCAAATTATTGGTCTAGCAGATGCATCAAAACCGTCGTCGTCGAAGGTGTTGTGCATTCTACCGAATATACAGCGGACTGTGTTCTGAAGAGTCGTACGACATGATACCTACGGTTACCTTTTACCATCGCACCGCTCGCCATCGACAGGTAATTCATTCCGACACACTGAAACCTAAGTGGTGTCAGAAAATACGGTTTCCGAGGAGCTTAAATTGTGAAATCAACAACCTGCCTAGATTTTCACTAGAGACTACAGCATAGGGTTTTTCAAGAAAGAAATATTAAGATTTCTTAAGGGTCGGCAAAACGTATGTGACATCCCTGGTATTTCAGGTGTCCATAGATTATGGCAAAACCGTTTACCATCAGTTGGTCCATATGCTTGATTGCCACCATTGCATGAGTCTTCTGCGACCCACACAATCTGGATGCTATGATGTATAAATGACAAGTCCGTGCTGCTTTCCAACTTGATTTATTGAGTACACGATATTTGAGTGTGGACTGCTGCTTGCTTGTGAGTATTTGGTGTACTTAAAAGAAAATGGTATGCGTGGGCGTTATATGGACGCGGAGCGGTGTAAAATGCTGACGGCTGTACGGTGACATACCGTACAACCATCGTTATATAAAAAAAAAACAAAATAGTCAAATATAGAGAAACAGGCCTGTTTGCGATCGCAAATAGTCATATAATACATTAAAAATAAAATTCAAATTTGGAACGTCAAGCATAGAACATCGATGTTGGTTTGTTTTAGTGACATTTTTCGATTTTTTTGACTTCTCGAACATTCTGTGACGTCATTACTAAATTCAGTGTACAATAAATTCTAACCATCTTTTATTTCATTATTATAACAAATTAAACATAGCAATATTGCTCCAGCAAACAAGGCCAACTATATTATATGTAAAGGTAATAATAACACACAAGAGGATAAAAATATAAATATGTACCTTCTTCTCACACTCGGCGGCTTCGTTCTGCAGCTCCTTGATCTTATAGTCCAGCTCTTTGATGGCAAGCTGCAGCTCGTTGTTGGCGGCCGCCAGCTTCTCCTTCTGTTGCAGCAGGCGCGAGATGTCGCTGCTACGACCTGCTATCTCCGCTTTCTGCTTCTTTATGCGCAGTTGCATTTCTTTTACCGCTTCCTATGGGTGCAAATGTTTTATGGATAAATATGAAATGATAAAAGTTCGCAGATCTATGCACAGCTGGTACAAAACTATATATAGTAAAGTATTTGTATTAAACAGACAAAGTCTTCATTTGGACAAAACTTAAAACAGATATTTAACTATATAATTAATTTAATGTTATTTACAGCTTGTCAACTTTTGACGTTAGATGGCGTTACTGAACAATATAAAAGGCGCTGTTTTTATATATTGTTATATACTGTTTTTATATACCTTATATCACATCTTTACATAGTATAAAATGAATTCGCCTCCACTATAAACTACGCAACGGAATACAGTTTTTAGCAGTAGACCTAGTGATTCAAGAGGAAGGTTTATATGTATTACATGTACACCTGCGAAACCGGGGTGGGTAGCTGGTTGTTTTATGATTTGAGTTTAATATATTATGAAGTGATAGCGTAATAGTAAAAGTATTCGACAGAAAATCTTCACCTGGACGACACCTAAAACATATTAACATAACACTACTTGATGGATTTAAATTATTTTGTTTAATTCCGCTACAATTAGCATGTATGAGACGACAAATATTCGGTGTGGAAACTTGACTAGCGTTACGACCTCTAGTGGCGATCAAATTGCGACCGTTATTGAGTCTACCATATCACGACATGTTTCACCTCTGAACATGGCATCATTAGGCGTTAAATAGAGTTCGGATACAGTTCGACGTAAGAACTCGTAATAATCTTACCACAGCCTTGTCATGTTCTGTTTTAGCATCGTTCTGCTTTTGTTCAAGCTCTGCAGCAGCGTTCTGAGTCTCCTCGAGAGACTGTTCACTGTTAGCGACGGCTTGCTTCAGCTCCGCCACCTCGAGCCGTAACGTCTCGAATTCCTGCTCGCGTTGCTTCCAAGAGCTGCTGTGTAATTCCGCGTCCTTTTTCGCCTTCTTCAGAGCTTCCTCCGCCTTTTTGAACTCTCTGCAGATGATATAAGGTTCAAATTATGTTTAAATCACTTCAGACTTTGGCGACTATGGGACACAGTTACCTAATTACTTCAACATAACACTTTCAATTAATTCTCGAATTTAATGGCAAAATTACTATTTATTACAAATTTGGTGGAGTGAACAAAAGGTACGTTAGATCGATCGGTTGATATTTTCAAGTCTGTCACATTACGTTGCATATTTGAATTGGATGGGTGTGCGCTCCAATCAGGACGCTCCTTTTGTATTGCGTTTTGTTACTGCTTGGTACGCGACAGTCTACTAAGCATGTTTACTGTCCTCTATAAACTATGTCACCTTACCTTACATTCCTATTGTTATTTAAATCAAACCAAATCTGTATCTTATTGTTGCTGGTAAATGATACTATGTTGTTGGTACATGTGGTTTGTACATAAAAATATTGATCTTATATACTAAATGACAATAGGAAATTGTAAGGTGGGGTGACACAGTTTAGACACGGCAGTGCTTAGTACACAATATTGAATTTGTCTTACTAGGCATTGTAAAAAGCAATTATATTTTGATGTATTTAGGTAACTGTGTCCCATACTTATGATCTGTAATATATGTACATTATCTCAACCGACAACATTGTATCATATTTTTTTTTATGGATATTAATGGAATGGTGCACCCGCCTGCGCTAACGGATTACGCTGGCGGGGCACCAGTGGAGGATGATAAGATGAGCATGTGGTCAGGTTAGTTAGCCCATCGTGATAAATTCACCAAGATTTATCAAGATGGTTTCCAGGGGGAACCGCGTGGAGGTCAACCTGACATGCTGCATTGCTAGCAATAAGATCATCAGTCCACATTACTAACAATCCCATTTCCCCCCGATCGTATCATATTACTATCCAGCAATAACGACAAATCCCCCTATTTGTCGTTATTGCTGGATAGTAATATGATATAGAGAAGTATGTACCATTTTACCATGTAGCATGCAAAAGAAGGTAATAGGTTTATTATCCTAAATATGTATCTTTTGCCACAAGAGACCAGACGAACGGATCGCTTTTGATTATCCATACGTTAATTTATTATTTTTTATATCGAATCGAAACTACTCTCAAGTACTTGAGAGTAGTACTCACCCTGGTGACACTAAACTAAGTGTCACCAGGATGAGTCTCCCACTGACCTGTCGCGGTGTCCCTTGATATCTTTGACTTTAAGTTCAAGTTCCCGTGCGCGCGCCGCTGTCTCGCTCTGCGTTTGTTTGTCTCGCTCCACCGCCGCCGTTAACTCCTCTACCTGTAAATGCGTCATTACCGAAACCATTTTGTATTATATTATGTTAAAGCATGTTTAAGGTATAGAACACAAATAAGGTATAAATCTTATTGAGGGATTTTACGTTTCTTACCTCGTTCACTGAGATTTTGGTATGAACTACCTGAGATTTTCTCGAGAGACTACAGCATAAGGTTTTTCAAGAAGGGTATTGTAATATATATGGACGTGGTTAAAGGAAGTAATGGTGATCACTCTATTCTCCCAAATTTGAATTTGTATCATTGTAAATATGTACAATATTTATATCAAAAGAATACGAGCTGAGTTTCTTGTCAGTACTTCTCATCTCGAAATCGTTCCGAACTGACGGTATATTTAACATATCATCTATTACACATTTTTATAAGATGGGCCGTATGTTTGCCAATGTCGTAATACAAAAATAATGTAGTAACCTGTTGCCGCAGCGCCTGTATCTCTGCGTGCGTGTGCGCGTGCGAGGTGGTGGCCAGCCGCGCCTTGATCACTTCCAGCTCGTGAGACATCATGTCGTACCTATATAGAAAACGTATTTTTTTGTTTAATAAATGGTGAAATCGATAAAGGTAAGCGTGGATTGGTGAAATATTCGGGAATGAAAAAGATGATTGAAGTTAAAGCTGTCTGTAAAGCTTGCACGTATATAGCGTGTGGATAGTGGATACGTTGATGTGAGAAATAGAAATAGAAATAATCTTTATTCAAATAAACTTAATATAAGCACTTTTGAATAGTCAGGTTTTTTTATTCTACCGCTTATTCGGAATGCAGATTCATCACAAGAAGAATAAGCAAGAAACTTGTGTGTTGCTTTTAAATAAATATTGACTTACTTATGTTTAATTAATAACAAGGATTAGGCATGCGATAATCAACATAGAAACCGCTACGCACTTGAGGGAAGTGATAACTCATATTTTCAAATTCAAATTCAAAAATCATTTATTCATGTAGGACATTTTAGCCGCTTATGAACGTCAAATTTTTACATTATAATATTATTTTTTCCCTACCGTCCAGTTCGGTATATAGATCCAATTGAGAAGAACTGGCAAGAAACTCAATTGAATTACTTTTTTTTTTAGGTGTCACTATCGACGCACAAGCATATAAATTTACTAACAAATAAGTATTTAAAGGCACGTCGGCTACCAATGGTAAACAAGCTAACGGCCCAGCCAGTTTTATTTAATCCCATTATTGAAACCCTTTATCAATCAACATCACGGAACGTGGGCTTCAAAATAAATTGATAAATTCTACCAATAGTAGTTTTTCTCATACATTTTCCATGTTCAGAGATGTTATGTTGTAACTGGTTAATGAAGAAATGTTTTATATTCTAAATTTGTATTTGAATTTATAGTTCTTTTATATTACATTCTTGTTTTTGATACTTCAATTCGTTCATTCTATTCCTAATTGTCAGTAGTCTATATTAATATATTTTCTCCGTGTACCTAGTCTTTTTTGTTATTACTACAATATATAGATTTGTATAATATAGTATTGTATAAACTCACTTTTGTTGTATGGTTGCGTATTTCTCTGCGGTTTGTTGCATGGAATTCAGTTCTGCGGTGCAACTGGCCAGTTGTTCCTCAACCTCCTGCAATTGCTGTTCTTGCTGCTTCAGATCTTGTAGTTGCAGCAGTACTGACCCACCCTGGGTATCAGAATATAACTTCATTATCGGAAGAAAATGTATGAATGAAAAAAATGGCGAAGAGAGAGCAATACATACGCTTTTGTTAGTGAATTGATTAAAAATTGCTATGTGGTTAATTTATAGGCGGTCAAAGTGGAAGCGAGAGGTATACCAGCTAAATCTCTCTGCAATATTCTAAAAGATCTTGGCCTGTATCTTTGCAGGCTCGCGGAGGACAGCGTTTTCACCGTCGAGCGTGACGCAGCGGGCCGCACGTACACGTGCACGTCACGTACCTGCAGGCACGCGCCGCCGGACAGCGTGCCGGCGGGGTCGGTGACGTCACCGTCGAGCGTGACGCAGCGGGCCGCACGTACACGTGCACGTCACGTACCTGCAGGCTCGCGCCGCCGGACAGCGTGCCGGCGGGGTCGGTGACGTCACCGTCGAGCGTGACGCAGCGGGCCGCACGTACACGTGCACGTCACGTACCTGCAGGCTCGCGCCGCCGGACAGCGTGCCGGCGGGGTCGGTGACGTCACCGTCGAGCGTGACGCAGCGGGCCGCACGTACACGTGCACGTCACGTACCTGCAGGCTCGCGCCGCCGGACAGCGTGCCGGCGGGGTCGGTGACGTCACCGTCGAGCGTGACGCAGCGGGCCGCACGTACACGTGCACGTCACGTACCTGCAGGCTCGCGCCGCCGGACAGCGTGCCGGCGGGGTCGGTGACGTCACCGTCGAGCGTGACGCAGCGGGCCGCACGTACACGTGCACGTCACGTACCTGCAGGCTCGCGCCGCCGCACAGCGTGCCGGCGGGGTCGGTGACGTCACCGTCGAGCGTGACGCAGCGGGCCGCACGTACACGTGCACGTCACGTACCTGCTGGCTCGCGCCGCCGGACAGCGTGCCGGCGGGGTCGGTGACGTCACCGTCGAGCGTGACGCAGCGGGCCGCACGTACACGTGCACGTCACGTACCTGCAGGCTCGCGCCGCCGGACAGCGTGCCGGCGGGGTCGGTGACGTCACCGTCGAGCGTGACGCAGCGGGCCGCACGTACACGTGCACGTCACGTACCTGCAGGCTCGCGCCGCCGGACAGCGTGCCGGCGGGGTCGGTGACGTCACCGTCGAGCGTGACGCAGCGGGCCGCACGTACACGTGCACGTCACGTACCTGCAGGCTCGCGCCGCCGGACAGCGTGCCGGCGGGGTCGGTGACGTCACCGTCGAGCGTGACGCAGCGGGCCGCACGTACACGTGCACGTCACGTACCTGCAGGCTCGCGCCGCCGGACAGCGTGCCGGCGGGGTCGGTGACGTCACCGTCGAGCGTGACGCAGCGGGCTATATATACGTGCACGTCACGTACCTGCAGGCTCGCGCCGCCGGACAGCGTGCCGGCGGGGTCGGTGACGTCACCGTCGAGCGTGACGCAGCGGGCCGCACGTACACGTGCACGTCACGTACCTGCAGGCTCGCGCCGCCGGACAGCGTGCCGGCGGGGTCGGTGACGTCACCGTCGAGCGTGACGCAGCGGGCCGCACGTACACGTGCACGTCACGTACCTGCAGGCTCGCGCCGCCGGACAGCGTGCCGGCGGGGTCGGTGACGTCACCGTCGAGCGTGACGCAGCGCCGCCGCACGCGCGGGTGGAACGTGACGCGGCGCGCCGTCTCCAGGTCGCGGCACACCAGCGTGTTCCCGAGCACCCAGGCCACCGCGCGCTCCGCCTCCGCAGGGAACGACACCAGGTTCAGTGCCAGCTGCACGTTCTCCGGACCGCCGCCCTAAATATCGTGCCTCAGTAATATTTGTCGAGTAACTTACAAAGAAAATCTTTTAAATATGTTCTTTAGATATTGAATGAAATAAAAAATCACCCCATGGGCTGATCAATCAAGCCGCAGAAGTTAATAACATAAATTCTAACTGTTACATCTATACTACAGGACAAGAAGTCTGACATCTTAGTCCTCTGAAATAGCAACGTATAACGTGATGTCCGTAAGGTTATTCATATACATAGACTATTTTTACCGTTCACCATATGATGGTGAGCAATTAGCGTCATCATCAGCTTGTTTGGCATTCCAATTACATAAAAAACCCTTTAAAAGCCAAACAAAACTATCTATATATACTACGCAAGGAAATATTAGAACAGATGTAATACAAGATGTTTATCGTAAATTGGATTTGATTTGATTAAGGTCGAGGTACAGGCATAACATAAGGGTAAATGACGTACGATTTGTTGCGCGAGCCGCAGCGTGGCGTCGTCGATGACGTGGGCGGAGATCTTGTTGAGCGGGATGATGGTGGTGCGCGTCTGCAGCCCGCCGCGCTGCAGCAGCAGCTTGCTAGTCACCTCCGTGTCCACCACCACGTTGTACAGCTAACAACACACCACACTATCAAGCATTCACTCTAAACACTGTTTCCCAACCTTTAGTGCCATGCCTTAGAAATTCGCATGATGACATCCCCCCCCCCCCCCTCCCCCGCCATATAATTTATAATATAAAAAAAATTGTTCACTTAAGAAATTTAAATAATAGGTTTTAGAAGAAATCACTAGGAATTGTACTCCACAAAAATTCATATTCACATTCAATTTCCTCCCCGTAACAATCAAATTGGCGTGGTGGGGCTTGACGAGTGAAGTGAACGATCGAAGTGAACGAGCGAAGTGAACGAGCGAAGTGAACGAGCGAAGTGAACGAGCGAAGTGAACGAGCGAAGTGAACGAGCGAAGTGAACGAGCGAAATGAATGAATGAAATGAATGAAAAGAATGAATTAACTGAAATGAATGAAATGAATGAAACGAATGAAACGAGTGAAACGAGTGAAACGAGTGAAATGACTGAAACGAGTGAAACGAATGAAACGAGTGAAACGAATGAAACGAGTGAAACGAGTGAAGCGAGTGAAACGAATGAAACGAGTGAAACGAATGAAACGAATGAAACGAATGAAACGAATGAAACGAATGAAACGAATGAAACGAATGAAACGAATGAAACGAATGAAACGAATGAAACGAATGAAACGAATGAAACGAATGAAACGAATGAAACGAATGAAATGAATGAAACGAATGAAACGAATGAAACGAATGAAACGAATGAAATGAATGAAATGAATGAAATGAATAAAATGAATGAAATGAACGAAATGAGCGACATGAACGAAATGAACGAAATGAACGAAATGAACGAAATGAATGAAATGAATGAATTGAATGAATTGAATGAAATGAATTGAATGAATTAAATGAATAAAATGAATGAAATTAGTGATATGAGTGATATGAGTGAAATGAATGACATGAATGAACTGAATGAAATGAGTGATATGAGTGCTATAGAATGTTACATATGAGCAATACATGGTCGCCTATGAACGACTGAAGTGAACGAGTCAAGTGAACGAGCGAAATGAACGAATGAAATGAATGAAATGAATGATATGAATGAAATGAATGAAATGAATGAAACGAATGAAATGAATGAAACGAATGAAATGAATGAAATGAATGAAATGAATGAAATGAATGAAATGAATGAAATGAATGAAATGAATGAAATGCATGAAATGAATGAAATGAATGAAATGAATGAAATGAATGAAATGAATGAAATGAATGAAATGAATGAAATGAATGAAATGAATGAAATGAATGAAATGAATGAAATGAATGAAATGAACGAAATGAGCGACATGAACGAAATGAACGAAATGAACGAAATGAACGAAATGAACGAAATGAACGAAATGAATGAAATGAATGAATTGAATGAAATGAATTGAATGAATTAAATGAATAAAATGAATGAAATTAGTGATATGAGTGATATGAGTGAAATGAATGACATGAATGAACTGAATGAAATGAGTGATGAGTGCTATAGAATATGTTACATATGAGCAATACATGGTCGCCTATGAACGACTGGAGTGAACGAGTCAAGTGAACGATCGAAGTGAACGAGCGAAATGAACGAATGAAATGAATGAAATTAATGAAATGAATGATATGAGTAAAATGAATGAAATGAATGAACTGAATGAAATGAGTGATATGAGTGAAATGAATGAAATGAATGAACTGAATGAAATGAGTGATATGAGTGCTATAGAATAAATTACATGGTCGCCTATGAACGACTGAAGTGAACGAGTCAAGTGAACGAGTGAAGTGAACGATCGAAGTGAACGAGCGAAGTGAACGAGCGAAGTGAACGAGCGAATGAACGAGCGATATATAGTGAATGATATGAGTGAAATGAGTGAAATGAATGAAATGAATGAATGAAAAGTACAGAAAGATATAACAATTACATAAAGGTTATCTTAGAAATATATATTTTTATTAAAATAGTATAAAACACATTTAGTTTTTTTTTCGTTCTCCGGCTGTGGCTTACGTAATTAATGAAATTTAAATATAAACAACTAGACTAACAGAAATTTTATCATGATCAAATTTGATTCAGCATATAATAGAAGCGTATATCTAAATTAATTTAAGATGATTCCTCTCGATATTTATTGATTTTGTTACGGTATAAGAAACATCATGAAATTTTGTATTAGTAGTACATCTTTTATTTAATATTTATTGACTAAATAAAATACATATATAAACTCACCCTACCGCCCGCCGCAGTTTCTAGAGCAGTGCAGTAAATCGGATCATTCACTTCTATGAGTTTGCATATTGTACCTGTAACAGAGTTTAAACAGATTACATTAATAATTTGATCATTGTCAGATCGTCACAATGACAAGTCACAATCGGCATTACATGATTAAAGGTATGCTACGTAATGGAATTTGTTGCAAAGATGGAGTGCTTACCTGCCTCAAAATTGATTATTACATTGTTAATGTGTATTTATTTAGAAACATGTATGTATGTATAGAAGAGCAATACGCGAGAATCTTACTCATTCTTCTTATGATGAGTCTGTGCTCTGAATGAGTGGTAGAATAAAAAAAGGACTATTAAAAAGGGCTTATCCCGCCAGCGCGCGCTGCTGCTGCTGCAGTAATAGGAGTAGTAATAGATACCTAGGACGCGGCGGGAGTCGAACCCGGGCTGCGGCGGCGTGTACCGGAGGTGGCAGCGCTGCAGCCGCGCCGCCAGCGCGTCGGCCGCCTCGCGCCGGGACCTGGCGGCCCCGCCCAGCGCGCGCTGCTGCTGCTGCAGTAATAGGAGTAGTAATAGATACCTAGGACGCGGCGGGAGTCGAACCCGGGCTGCGGCGGCGTGTACCGGAGGTGGCAGCGCTGCAGCCGCGCCGCCAGCGCGTCGGCCGCCTCGCGCCGGGACCTGGCGGCCCCGCCCAGCGCGCGCTGCTGCTGCTGCAGTAATAGGAGTAGTAATAGATACCTAGGACGCGGCGGGAGTCGAACCCGGGCTGCGGCGGCGTGTACCGGAGGTGGCAGCGCTGCAGCCGCGCCGCCAGCGCGTCGGCCGCCTCGCGCCGGGACCTGGCGGCCCCGCCCAGCGCGCGCTGCTGCTGCTGCAGTAATAGGAGTAGTAATAGATACCTAGGACGCGGCGGGAGTCGAACCCGGGCTGCGGCGGCGTGTACCGGAGGTGGCAGCGCTGCAGCCGCGCCGCCAGCGCGTCGGCCGCCTCGCGCCGGGACCTGGCGGCCCCGCCCAGCGCGCGCTGCTGCTGCTGCAGTAATAGGAGTAGTAATAGATACCTAGGACGCGGCGGGAGTCGAACCCGGGCTGCGGCGGCGTGTACCGGAGGTGGCAGCGCTGCAGCCGCGCCGCCAGCGCGTCGGCCGCCTCGCGCCGGGACCTGGCGGCCCCGCCCAGCGCGCGCTGCTGCTGCTGCAGCTCGGCGCGCCGCTCGCTGCTGAACTCCACGCGGGACAGCTCGCTCTGATCACCACACATAACTTTCGTATAACACTCGTATTCACCGCGTAAGCTGTGGCCGAGTATGGTTCGGTTGACGTATGAGATTCCTCGGACACTACAAACGAAGATCTGCAGTCAAAACTTTCATGTAAATTTATATCCATAATAGTTCAGTTTGGTACTAGGTGACGTTGTGTGAATTATCCAGGGTTATTTATTTAAACAGCAGCAACACAATAAGGTATGAACTATGACAACTTACCCCTCTACAATGGCAACACATTAGAGGTACTACAAAAGTCACATGATGACGTGATATTCATGGCTATTAGATTGACCACCTGTTACATAAAAATGTAGATTTGTAGTCATATATACAGGACTCTCTTCAAATGATATCTCTTCAATGATGGTGAAATCTCGCAGTAGAACTAAGTAACCTAACTTCAAATTCCTCGTATCATATTCCATAACTTACTTTAAGTTGTTAGACATTATACCTTTAATTTTTCCACTTGTGCCTCGTGTTTGCCGATAGCATCTTGGTCACGTTGGAACTGCGAGCTACTGGATTTGAACTCGCGCTCTAACGTCTTCAGCCGCTCCTCTGCATGTTTTCTTTCCATCATACTCTGAGATATACGCGTCGAAGCTTCAGAGGCCTCCGCTTTCGCAGCTGTTTCAATAAACCATATAGTTTATTAAACATTTTGAATTTAAGTAATATTCATTATTTAAAGTTAGATTGTGGTTAAAGGAGATGATAGTGATAGGCGAATAGATTAGTAAATAAGGGCGAATTATGAATATGAATAAGCGAGTTACCCATGAGCTGGTCCTGCAGCGACTCGGAGGCGCCCTCGAGCCCCGAGCTGACGGCCAGGAACTTATCCTGAGCCTCCGCCAGCGCCGCCTCGCTGCCCGCGCTGGCCGCCCGCAGCTGCTCCCACGACGACGACACCTGCCGCACAAAACACCACCTTATCACTCACACAATAAGGACGGGATATCTTTGTCAGGTACAATTATAGGTTTGTTCTTTCCCAACATTGCAATCAATCACTTTCTATTTTTATTCAATGTTTAGATGGTAGATAATATCATATGGCATTAAACTCGTCATAATTGGAGCACCGCGTAAATAAGAATGCGAGCGCGGAACTCATCTGGGTCAACCCTCCACCAATTCATGTCCATACCAACCTCGCGGTTATCTATTCTTGAACGCGTGTCACCATCAATATTTTCGTACTCGCTTCGCCTCCGATGTCTTTGAAGCGCAAACTCACGCAGGTTCCTAAAATTCTGTTACGAAGACACCAAGTCTGGGTAGTATACCAGACCTCCTCTGGTTCCGCGTGGAGGTCCTCGCTCCACTCACCTGGCTCAGCTCGGCGTCCCTGGCCGCGAGCGCGGTGCGGTCGTCTGTGAATAGTAGCCGTGCCCGGCGCGTGGCGTCCCGTGAGGTCCTCGCTCCACTCACCTGGCTCAGCTCGGCGTCCCTGGCCGCGAGCGCGGTGCGGTCGTCTGTGAGCGCGCGCCGCAGTAGCCGCGCCCGGCGCGTGGCGTCCGCGTGCTCCACGACGACGACACCTGGCCGCTCGGCGTCCCCTTGGCCGCGACGCGGTGCGGTATCTTTGTGAGCGCGCGCCGCATAGCCGCGCCCGGCGCGTGGCGTCCGCGTGGAGGTCCTATTTCCACTCACCTGGCTCAGCTCGGCGTAATGGCCGCGAGCGCGGTGCGGTCGTCTGTGAGCGCGCGCGTAAATAAGAAGCGCGCCCGGCGCGTGGCGTCCGCTGGAGGTCCTCGCTCCACTCACCTGGCTCAGCTCGGCGTCCCTGGCCGCGAGCGCGGTGCGGTCGTCTGTGAGCGCGCGCCGGAGTTGCCGCGGAGGCGAGTGGCGTGCGTCGTGGAGGTCCTCGCTCCACTCACCTGGCTCAGCTCGGCGTGGCCGCGAGCGCGGTGCGGTCGTCTGTGAGCGCGCGCCGCATAGCCGCGCCCGGCGCGTGGCGTCCGGTGGAGGTCCTCGCTCCACTCACCTGGCTCAGCTCGGCGTCCCTGGCCGCGAGCGCGGTGCGGTCGTCTGTGAGCGCGCGCCGCAGTAGCCGCGCCCGGCGCGTGGCGTCCGCGTGGAGGTCCTCGCTCCACTCACCTGGCTCAGCTCGGCGTCCCTGGCCGCGAGCGCGGTGCGGTCGTCTGTGAGCGCGCGCCGCAGTAGCCGCGCCCGGCGCGTGGCGTCCGCGTGGAGGTCCTCGCTCCACTCACCTGGCTCAGCTCGGCGTCCCTGGCCGCGAGCGCGGTGCGGTCGTCTGTGAGCGCGCGCCGCAGTAGCCGCGCCCGGCGCGTGGCGTCCGCGTGGAGGTCCTCGCTCCACTCACCTGGCTCAGCTCGGCGTCCCTGGCCGCGAGCGCGGTGCGGTCGTCTGTGAGCGCGCGCCGCAGTAGCCGCGCCCGGCGCGTGGCGTCCGCGTGGAGGTCCCGCGCCGCGCGGAGGTCGGCCCCGCGCGCCGCCTCTGTTCGTTCCCGCGCCTGCAGCTCGCTCTCCGTCGCCTGCAGCGCGCTGCCGCTCTCCTATGGACGACACCACACACCACATATATCGTCTGCCGTGATATCAAATTACCGTGTATTTATATTATCTCACGAAGCTTCATACTATGTAAATTGTTATTCAGTAGGAAGGTAAAAAAATATGGCTCATGAATCATGACATCTCAGTTCTCCAGAATGACAAAGCAATAAAGGGTATAGTGTTTACCTTTCCGATTATTAACACAATAAAAAGTTAGGACAATAAAAAAAATTACCTCATCCAATTTCTTGTTCATTTCTGCAACTTTCTTATCCAGTTCCTTCACTTCCTTCTCATTGTTTTTTATAGTTTCCTTCTTGTTTTTAATGTCATCTTGAACTTCTGTGACCTTATCCTCTGCTTTCTTTGTACTCTCTTCTGCAGTTACATACCTAAACAAGATTATTATTATTTTATGACTTTAATTCCTTATGGTCATTTCTATCAGCTAACCAATGGCTAGAAACAAAAAGCGGTTGAAGGGCACTAATGAAAAAAGGCTAGTGCAACCTAGTCGAAACGTCGAGAGAGTACCTTTATTTGCCATAAAATTATTCGTGCTAAGACCCGGTTAATAATTTAAATGATGAGAAAAGGCCCAGGACAATGTAATTAATGATAATCAATGCACACAATTCTAAATATAATATACATAATATTGGAAACCTATGAGCCTCGTATTTGGTCATACATCCTCCTCGGATGTAGTGTGATATTTTGTAACAAGGGGGACAGCCAGAAACTTCATGTAAATTTTAACTATTAAAATGCGACTAGACGACAAACAAGAATTAACATAAAAATTACTTAAAAAAAAAAACTAATTAATTGATCCCTAGTCTCAATAAGATTTACTGAAAAAAAAAAAACAAAACAGCTTACTTCCATGCTACATATAGCCTAGTAAGATTCTCCAGTTCTCTAACGACTTTCTGATACTCCTGGAACTGAGACCTTTCATCCTGCAGTTTTTGAAGTTTTGGGGCAATATCCTCTCTTATTATCTGCAAATTAATAAAGTTTATTGTGACAAAAATATGCATATACCGGGTGTCCCAGAATTCAAGATTGAATAACCATAATGAGAAAAATCAGAACAAAAACTATCCATGCAGTTTGAAAGGAGTAAAAAAATAAAATCCTCAAGTAAGCCGATTTTTTGCTAACCCATTTTACTCAGTTCAAATGTTTTTTATTCACAAAATAAATTAACATTAACCAAAAAATGGTTAGTTTGACCAAATTTCTAAATCTTCTTAAATGTATGGGCATTTAAGAAAAACCTAGAAATTTGGTCAAACTAACCATCTTTCTATTAATATGGTTAATTTATTTTGTGAATTGAAACTGCATGGGATAGATTTTTTTTCTGATTTTTCTCATGATAGTTACAACCAGGATTGGTCACTACGTTTCGGCTTGACGTCGAGTTCTGGGACAGCCTGTATATTGCAAGACTATTTTTCTTGACTACAGTCAAAACTACTGAGTATAGAAAGCCAATATTTAGAGTTTAAGTTTTATTTTAAACTATAAGATGGCCATAAAGATAAAAATGAGGAATAACTGTAATTTTATAGTAATGAGTAGTCAAAAAAAATGTAACTAGGTAAGATGGTCTGGTCTTGACTATCATCACAACTACTATAGAAAGTCAAAATATGGACAAGTTTAGTTTTATTTTATAACATAAATGTAAATATAATTAAATCAATATTTATTTAAAAGCGCAACACACAAGTTTCTTTCTCATTCTTCTAGCGATGACAGACTCATCGCTAGAAGAATGAATCATTATTCAGAATCATTGGAATGCATGAGCGGTAAAATAAAAAATCTTCCATATTCAAAAGTGCTTATATTAAGTTTATTTGAATAAAGATTATTTCAATTTCTATTTTATAAGCTAGCTGGCATAAAGATAAAAAGGTGGAATAACTGTAATTTGTATGTCAACTAATATAGTAATGATAAAAGTTACAAACATCATTAAGCTCTCGTAACTTGGCATCTTTCTTCTCAATTGTCTTCTGTGCAGCTTGTTTCTTGGCTTCATACATCCTGGTGCCAGCCGCTTCCTCTACCATTGACAGAATCTGACAATATACAAAATGATAATATAAGGTATAAAACAATATAAACAAAGTGTTGGCGTCGGGGAGTGAAAGAGTGGACTGTTCTAGATTGTCCAATGCGTTTATTACTAGAGCTTATATTACAATATTTAGCCCAACATTAATAGTATGGAACGCTATGAAAATAAACTAAAGATGCGCGTGCGGTTGTTACGGCGTTATAAATCAGTGTGTGGCTGTGAGCGGCCGGCGGCTGCTACATTGTCCGATGCCGCGCGTCCCCGGGTCTCCCTGGGTCTCCACGGGTCTCACCGGGTCTCCCCGGGTCTCCCTGGGTCTCCACGGGTCTCACCGGGTCTCCCCGGGGCCATAATCACGCTCGCTGTTTATAGCTTGACCACAAAGTTATACTTACATACAGTAAACTTTGTAAAAAGACTATGTGTTGAAGAGAGATATAACAGTGAAATTATGATAAGAGGAATAACATCTTCATCCTCAAATGATTATAGGTATCACAAGTATGTAGGCACAACATTTCTTTTATTTCCATATATATATTTTATCTGTACCTTTTGTTTGTAATTAATTAATAAAGTATTTAACTATCTGTTGATACAAATGTTTGTGTCACATATGTCATACATTTGTATTCATGAGTATCTATGTATTTGTCTAGTACCCATACTACAAGCTCTGCTTAGCTTTGGTCTAGATAGCATTGTGTGAATTGTCCAGCGATATTATTAGAATTATATTTATACAATATCTAATTACTCTCCCCAGCTTCGCACTTGTACATGTATTATATATATAAACCTTCTTCTTGAATCACTCTATCTATTTCAAAAATTTGCTTCATAATGTTGCACTTTTATAGATTTAAGCATACATAGGGACAGACAGACAGCGACACTTGACTTTTATACTATGTAATGATGACTTATATGTACCTCAGGTGGTTTCATATTGAGCACTTTAGTGATCCGACCCTGCATGATGAGGAAGTGTGGGTTATTCACATTCAGCTGCACTGAACAGAACAGGTCACTCACTCTCTTATTCTGAACATTGATACCATTTATCAAGTATTTGTTCTTGCCTCCCATCACAACCTGAAAATATTGAAATTGTTGTATTTATACATCTATACATATAAATAAAACTAGCTGTCCCGGCAAACATTATTTTGCCATATAAATTAATAACGCTATAAAAAAATAGGGGTTGACGATAGAAGGGTGAAAATTTAGGATTGTGTGTATTTTTGTATGTTGTATTATAAAAAATAGAAACAAAAATTTTGTCTAAAAAATAAAAAAAAAATATAGGGGTGGACTACCCACCCCTAACAATTAGGGGGATGAAAAATTGATGTTGGCCAATTCTCAGACCTACACAATACGCTCACTAAATTAAATTTAAAACACACAATTAAAATTAAATTAAAATTAAAATTTCATGAGAATCGGTCAAGCCGTTTCGGAGTATGGGAATGAAAACTGTGACACGAGAATTTTATATATAAGATGGGAGAGTCTGTTTGGAATATTGAAATAACTGTTTTTTACCAGTTTGTTCAGTTGAAGACTATGAAAAGATAGTTATATTCATATGCATGTAGTAAACTAGAACCCGATGATTAATCAAAACCTTTACCACAAGGTGTTACGTCATGGGTAGAGTGTGATTCCCAGCAAAATCATCTTCATTTTTGGTGGTCCTGATTAATCATCGGGTTCCAGTTTACTACATGCATATGAATATAAATATGAAATGCACCAAAACAACATTTTTTACACTTTTTATCTGTGTCTGTGTGTTCCAGCTAATCACTAAAAAGGCTGGACCGATTTTGACGGGACTTTTTTTGGCAGGTGTAATAAGGATTAAATTAGGCTACTTTTAGTTTAGAACATGTTGGACTCCAGTCTCCGCAATTAGCCTCTCATACGGGTTGTTGTGCGTAAAGTTAGTTTAGAACAATAAAGATACATTCCATCCAGATGGAATTCACATGTACAGCATCTAGAAAAAACCTTTACCAACCTGCCTAGTGACAGTGATTTCATCATGATTTTCATAGCCGATGGGGCACTGTCTCTTATCTCTATTATCAAATGTGATGCTGACTGTGGCCTTGATGATTCCAGCTTGGCCATGCTTGTATATCAACTCTTGAAGACTTCCAGCTCGTACCTATAAACAAAACATTCCAGTTGGCGGGAGTGTAAACAAGACATGGTTATAAAAATTTACATTGAAAAACAACTCACATTGGACAAATTCGTTATTCCCAGCACGAAACATATTGAATCCAATATGTTCGATTTTCCAGTGCCATTCAGACCAGTAATAGCATTAAATTCGGGATCGAAACCGGTGACTTCAACTCGGTTGCCATATGATTTAAAACCGTCCAGCACAATAGTCTTGATATACATATTTGGACAGTTAAACACTCACAAACACAGTAAAAATCACATCACAACACTTTTCAAATAAGTATTTATTATAAAACATGAAATTTTCGAAGAGCGGGAACCGTTGGAATATGGGTATACATTTATTTTTTTATAACTGAGACCGACTGACGTCCCGTAATCGGTATGACGTTTCCTGTGAGATCATCTTGACATTACAAAAATGCCGATTTATACTAATTATATATTTAAAACTACGTTTTGTCAATATAGACAAACCAAATTTTTTAATATTTTTGTTATATATTTTAATTATTTAATAATATTGTTAAAATTTAATTTTATCAACTAAGTAAATAATCACTACAATTAACTTTCTTGAGTGTTGTGATGTCGAGGTTTTCGTGTCGCATTGAAACTGTCAATGTCAAACTGTAATCAGTGTCAACTCTACATGAGCGAATCTAACCGAAATTATTGATTTTAATTTTTTTTATTTTGTCTTTTCATGTTGAAAAGAATTCAATTTATTTTATAATTTTAGTTTCTTAGGTTATTATTTTTATTTTACGGTATTACAACATGGATTTTGGTAATACAAGTGGATTGAGAAGCCCATTTTCACCACGAGTTCGTCAATCATTATCCGGGCGAAGACCTATCGGATCGCCTTCTGCTAAAAAGAACCAAAGGTGCCTGAATTTTTTTAATTTTAGAACTACAGCTGGCTGCTCTGATGGTATACACTATTATGGCATGAGTATAAAGTCAAGCCCATTACAATTCTTCAGGAATTTAGCACATGGTATCAATGATCCAGAGGCAAGGACAGGGTTCTTACTTATCAAACCATGTTCTACCACTGTATCTAATATAACCCTGTTAGAACGACGTTTGCAATCGATGACTTGATTGGCTGGTATGACAGACGAAGTATATTTGAATATTTGAGAAGAAAGTGTTCTGTCATCTCGTCTGCCTTCATATCTACTGTATCTCTAAAATATGGTTGAGCGCAGGGATGGCTGTCTCATCCGTCATACTCATGTACGAGTGCTGCTTGTAGGGACTGGTCTGCTCTTATCACTACAACTAATTTAATCTTATTGTATACTTATATTTAACCATAATAAATTAGTCCTGGTTGGTAGTTTGTGTTCACACATTTCGACTTGTTAAATGTGAACTTACAAAGATTATTTAAAAGAGCAACACACAAGTTTCTTGCTCATTCTTCTTGTGATGAGCTTTCCGAATGAGTGGTAGATTAAAAAAAATATTATTACTATACATAAGTGCTTAAATTAAGTTTATTTAAAAAAAATATTTAGTATTCTGTTATAAGTATATATATGTGTAAAAAATGTGTTTTTATATAATTTTATCTAGATTAGAAATTATTATATACTTTCTAAAACACATATTTTTCGAAGCACAAATCATACTGGCCAGAATGACATCTGTCGACTCTTTTACAAAGTACCCACTGTACATAACAGAAATATATTTTTGTTAATCTGTAATCCTTAATTACTTACTTGTACACCACTGGAAATTGTTAAAGTGAGGAGTTCAGAGATAACTTCTCTCACATCTACAGAGTACACCCTAAAAACCATTCTGGTTAATCTCTGTTCAATTAATCACAATAGGTTTGCTGAGCTCACTAACTTCATCTTCACACTGCTGTTGCTCAACTAGCATATACCATTAGTTTGTATTTGTAATGTTCATTTGACAGTCTCACTGGTCTAGTGGTTTAACACACAGCTTTACTTCTGATGATTGTGGGTTTGATTCCTTGCATGGTATAAACATTTGTATTCATGATTATGATTGTTTGTATCAGTCTGGGTGTTTTCTATGTATATTATGTATGTAATTACAAAAAAAATATCTAAGTATTCATAGCAGTTGTCCAGTACCCATAACACAAGCTCTGCTTACCATGGAACTAGGTGTTTTCGATGTATATTATGTATGGAATTAAAAAAAAAATATCTAAGCATTCACACACACACACACACAGACACACACAAGCTCTGGTACTAGATGGTACTGTGTTAATTGTCTAGGGTTATTTATTATTATTATTCAATCTTCATCTATAAAAAACATATAACCTCTTTAAGGTAAAAATATATTTCCTTAATAAATAGTTTAATGAAGTTTATGTGTAGAGCAATAGAGATATTCTGTGAGTATCACTTACAAGTTCAAAGTGGTATCCAAGGTGAGATTGTACATTGGTATTCCGTAAAACTCTATAGCAACTGCAGTGCCACTTTAATGCAGCTTATGTGTAGAGCAATAGAGATATTCTGTGAGTATCACTTACAAATTCAAAGTGGTATCCACAGTGAGATAGTGTAGTAGTGAAAACTCTGTAGTGACTGCAGTGCCACACACCCGAGAGTGGGAAGGAGGTAACAGGCACTAGTGATATGTTTGGGAATATAGACAAAAGACTTAGTTTTTTTTAATTCACATGATATAATATTCATAATGCAATACATCAGGCATCTGAGCGCAGCAGATGGCGACACCTGGTCGACAAGATAGTATAGTCACAATCCTCAGCAGTGAGGAAACAATTAAGAAGAATTTATTTTTGATTTCAGTAAATTTCTACATTCCTCTGGACACCCAAGCGGTGATGTGATCTATAAGACTCCAATATGTACGGTGGAAACTTATGGCACGCCACTTCCAGTGATAGTCACAGAAACACTCACATTTGGTTTGTAATATTCATTTCTATAATTTTATTAATTTATATTTACTACTAAAAGAAAAGATGGATTGTGTGAAAGATGATATGAATAATAGAAGAGTATGTTTAGATATGACGACCGATAGAGAGCAGTGGAAGAGAATGACATACTGCGCTGACCACAAATGATGGGATAAAGGCAAGGCAATGATGATGATGATATTTACTACTAAAATAGTAATTAACAACAACTAACAAACTAACTGAAATAAAAAATATATTTACTCTAATATTTTCTTAATGTTTGGTACATTTAATGAATTTAGTTTTTTTCGGACTACTCTAATGCTGTTTTCCGCAGCTGGCCTTTACAGCTTCACCGAATGATAGGGGGCGAGTGCAGATGGCACTCCAAACCCGCGGAAGGACTTATGGAGCGGCTGAAGGCCAACTCCCGCCTGACGAATACGACTTTAGTCTGAGCACCACTAGGGGTTCAAACCTCGGCCCAGGCCGTCGTAACATCGGTCCTCGTTTGAATTGGACAGGGGATCGATAGGAGGGGCAAATGAATTTAGTATGATATTAATGATAAGGTCAAAGTTAAATTATTGGTCAGTTATATATTTTTTATATACTGTAGGGGTTGTTCCGACACTTGATGATAATAATGCTTTTGATCATCTATGGGGATGATAAATAAAAGATATGTCACATATTGATCGCTTGTTACACACTGATTTTATTATATAAAAATATATAGTGAAATGATATACACTGTATAAGTAACTTATGTTATTGTCTAATTATTTGTAATGAGGAAGTTATCATCGTGACTTATTGTTTCATTGAGGCAACAACTATCTTTACTGGGCTGCCTGTCTTTCGCTGTCCCAGGTACATAACAAGAAGGAACATGAAAGATGTATTTATTTATTTAATTCAGGCTACATGGTCTATATTATAAACTAGCTGTTCCCGCGACTTCGTCCGGAATCCGATGATATCCAAAAAATTCCGCGTGGAATTTAACTTTATTTTTCTAAAATAAAAGTAGCCCAAGTTACTCCTTATTACATCAGCTACCTGCCAAAAAAAGTCCCGTCAATATCGGTCCAGCCATTTCAGAGATTAGCCGGAACAAACAGACCGACAGACAGACAGACAATAATTATAAAAAATGTTATTTTGGTATGTGTACCGTATCTATATTCATATGCATGTAGTAAAAACCGGTTATTTCAATATTACAAACAGACACTCCAATTTTATTTATATGTATAGATAACTTATAGACTAATATATAAGAAATAATAAAATGTAAATTCAAATTGTCGGTATGGTCACGATACTGACTACGGCAATATGTCACGGTAGCGTCGATATACCACCTCTTTCGGCCACTAGTCCTCCTTTCATGATGGTGGGCAGCATGTCGGTGAGGACCTGAGTCATGAACACTCAGGATGGTCGCGTTGTGACTCGATTCCAACTATGTGACCCTCATAGAGTATGTGTGTATGGTCGGCAGCGAGCGGCGAGGTGAGCGCGCGCGTGTCTGCGTGCGGGTGGTGCTGGGTGGTGAGCGGGCGGCGCGTGGTGGCGTGGCCGCGGGAGCCCGAGCCGGGCGCGGGCGCGGGCGCGGCCCGGGAGTTCACGCTGCCGCAGACAGACCTCGCGCACAAGGCCGACCTGTTCGCGCTCTTCTACCGCCACGAGGACGAGCCCGGCCCGCAGGTCACTACGCTGCAGTGCTATTCCAATTTTAAATATATTTTACTTTATTCATGTAGGTCTATTACTTATGATATGTCAAATCTACCGTCAGTTCGGAATGATTTCGAGAAGAGAAAAATTGACAAGAAACTCAGCTCGTATTCTTTTCAAATAAACCATATTATGTATTTTATGGGGACATTCATTGAATTAATATTCATTAAGGTTTTCTCAACAGACAAAAGGATGAGGTTTTTCATCAAGAAGAAAATATGAAGGTTTCTTAGAAGTCGGCAATGCGCACATAACACTCTTTTAGCGACTATGTTGGGGCCGTTATTATTTGTGTTTGTAATGTGTTCCATGTATTGTGACAATGTACATATTTATAATAATTAAAAGTATTTACAATAATATATATGTATGTACAATGTGATTCGGCCTCGAATGACAGACCTGTTGTTTCATTGTTCTGTCGTATCTAGGCAACGGTGTTGCCGCGCGATAATTGTTAATATGCTTGCTTGCCACCATCACAGTTAAAAGAAAAAAAAAACAAGTGATATTAAACACAAACAATATTAATCTATTCCCAATTTGACCATACACTTTAACAATAACCAAAACAGTATACAGTGTGTATAAAATCAGGTATTTGTACATAGGTAATGTGTGTAATGTTTTTTTTTTAATTGATCCAATGAGAATGAAATTAATAAAAATATTAGCATACTGCACTCCTCTAAATAAACCATAAGTGTGTGAAATTTCATACGGCTTCGTCGGCACAATTTCCGTAAAAATGGTAATTATAAGTATATATTCAAATAAATTCAAAATATCTTTATTCATGTAGGTCTATTACAGACTCTTATGATATGTCAAATCTACCGTCAGTTCGGAATGATTTTGAGATGAGAAGAACTGACAAGAAACTCAGCTCGTATTTTTTTTTTAATGTTGTACATATTTACAATAATACTATTTCATTTAAATTCAAATTTGGGAGAATAGAGTGACCACCAGCATATGCTATATAAAAAAAAATCAAAAAATCTAATCAGTGTTCGTAACCTAATTGTAATAAATGTGTTTTTATATAATTATATCTTGATTAGAAATTATTATATACGCACTAAAACACATAATTTTCGAAGCACATATCACACTGGCCAGATTGATATATGTCGACTCTTTTTTACAAATTACCCACTTAAGTATATAACAGAAATATATTTTTGTTTATCTGTTATTCTTCATTACTTACTTGTACACCACTGGAAATTGTTAAAATGAGGTTTTGCTTCACATATCAATATATAATTTTTAATAGGCCTGCTGCTTTAAATGACAGATGCCGTCCTGTATTGGTGTATCACCTGAGGGTATTGTGCGGTACTGGCCGTCAATCGGTCAGGAAGGAGTGTACACTGACGTGTCAGCTGAACTGGCTGGCCAGGAATGTGAACAGCTCGGTGAATACTCCCGATCTGGTCTGGTTCTCGCCACTACTACTTGCACTGTTGTCTTGCTCAACCCAGCTGTTATAGGTGAGTGAGGTTTTATACTATTCCAAAGTAAGCAGACATTTTATTAAAAATATCTCTATTCATGAAGGTCTATTATAGACTCTTATGATATGTCATATCTACCGTCAGTTCTGAATGATTTCGAGATGAGAAGAACTGACAAGAATGAGTTTCTTTTTATCGTAGTCGTTATCGTCAAATAATTCACTAAAAATAAATAGGAACACATTTATCTGACTCTTGTGAGTTTATTGATTTTTTAATCATGTTTTTGGACATCACTAGATAGTCTATGGCTAGGTTAGTAACCTCTTTATTTACCTTTTTCTCATAGATTTTATCACACTTCTTGGGCGTTATTCAAAGTTGTAATTCACTAGGCCAGACGCTTAGAAAAGACAAATTGATATATGTATTAGAGATGAAACGGATAGCAGTTTGGCCGGATACCGGATATTCGGCCAGCCATGTGACCGAATAGCCGGATATCCGACGGAACTTAGCGAACTAAAAATTCATTTTCTTTCTATAACAGTCATTTACACTATTTTAATCACTAAAAATTTAAAACTAACTAATTTTATTCCTTATGTAATACTAAGACTAACTAAACAAAGCAAATAATTACTTTAAAAAAATTCTTGTTACCCACTTTTTTTTAAGTTTAATTACACAGTTCTGCACCAATTTTGATAATAATTTTTTATTTTGAATATGTATATTTCTATCAATACATTGAGTTATCCAGTTGACTATGTAATTGTATCTATGATTATAAGAAAAAATAAAAATCTTGTCTATGTTGTCGGAACAAATATTGTTCGTAATGAACTAATGAGTATGCTAGATATATCATTACATAGTATAAAACAAAGTCGCTGTCGCTGTCTGTCCGTCCCTGTATGTGCTTAAATCTTTAAAACTACGCAACGGATTTTGAAGCGGTTTTTTTAAATAGATAGAGGGATTCTAGAGGAAGGTTTATATGTATAATACATGTACAGTGTACACCCCTGCGAATCCGGGGAGAGTAGCTAAGTAATTAATAAATTGGTTAGCAAAGTTTCGGCTTTTATTAAGAAGCCTAATATTGTAACATATTGTACCCGCGACTTCGCCCATGATTACCCCCCGTCTCTTTTTCCATGTCAAAAATGAAAGTGTTCTCCAGTACTGATTTATGAAAGAATTTAAAATTTAATATATGTATTAAATATAGATGGCCGAGCTACGGTTACGTGTCGTACACTACGACCGCCGAGCGGTTGGCTGGGCGGCATTGGTCGACGGGTTTCTCTGCTATTCTTTGGTTCAATGCCTGCCCATGCAGAAACAGTGAGTACCATGTTATATTATTATGTGCCTACACTGTCAACCTTCGGCACCCTTCAGATTTATCTCCAGAGTGACAAAACAAAAATCATGTGAAATGCTCGTGTCGTACCTAGTTCCGTAAATATTGGGGATTCTACACTCGATATACTCGAACACTATTTCAAATAACAAAGTTGAAATATGTATAAATAAATCGTTTATTATTTATTCACATTGTGTCAAAATTATTTAAATCCTTACTAATATTATAAATGCGAAAGTAACTCTGTCTGTCTGTCTGTCTCGCTTTCACGCCAAAACTACTGAACCGATTTAAATGAAATTTAGTACGCAGATAGTCTAGACGCAGAGGAAGAACATAGGCTACTTTTTAATGCGTAAAAAGGGTTGTAAGGGGTTCAAAATGGAAATACAAGGTTATCTTTATGCGGTTGAATCCTTATTCGTCATCTTTTCATTTCACTAGCTAACAACCAATCAACACATCGCGTGCGTTTGCGCCAATAAGGTATCCATCACAGAGAACAAAACCACAGATAACATAATGTAAAACGAAAGATCTTGCCGGAAACATGACGTTGACTTTTAGTGAAAATATTGTTTTTTGACACTTTTTTATGATAAAATCGTATATCGTGTGTATGTGTTTTTTCTTTAAACCTGAAATTGGCCGATTGCGAGACAAATTTGGCGATTTTTTTTATTAATTTGTTTTACGGCTCTGGATACAAGCCCAGTTTAGCCCAACTTAAAGTTTTACAATATAAATTACAAAAATTAAAGTCAATGTCCAATGTTAAATAATAATAAATGTCAAATGTTGTTTCCCTGTTCTAACAATCTTAAAAAAAAAACTTAATAACAATCACAATTTCTTCACATTTTATTATTTACATTTTTTTAAAGAATGTTGTAGTGTGGCACTATCCGAAATTAAATTATTTGCCCATTTTTGTAGGTTATACAGAAATAATGTGTGGGTGTTTATTTAAAAAGCATTAACACAAAATTAATAAAGTATAGGTATTAATAAATATATGGTTGTTGTATCAAAATAGAATTTTCTTATTTTTCACTAAAATAAAAACTAACTGTCTTTTTTATAAAATAAATGACCTTTTCATTGTGCCATATATTATGGAACTATTTAAATTATTTAGCTGATTGTAAGAAACAAAATGTTGGTTTGTAGATTAATACTGTAAAATTATTATTTGTACGGAAACGATAAAAATATATTTTTGTGCTGCGACAAAACTAATATTATAAATGTGAAAGTAACTCTGTCTGTCTGTCTCGCTTTCACGCCAAAACTACTGAACCGATTTGAATGAAATTTGGTATACAGATAGTCTAGACCCTGAGAACGGACATAGGCTACTTTTTAATGCGAAAAAAGGGTTGTAAGTGGTTAAAAGGGGGGATGAAAGATTGTATGGAAGAATCGTCATTTTTGAAGCTAGAAGCTTGAAACTTATTTTTGAGACTGTTGATTAAATATAAATAAAAATGACATTCAATGTTTGTAAAAAATTACCCTTAAGGGGGTAAAATAAAATAGGGGATGCAAGTTTTTATGTAAATTCGTCATTTTTGAAGCTAGAAGCTTAAACTTATTGTTGAGACTGTTGATTAAATATAAATACATATGACATTCATTGTTTGTAAAAAAATTACCCTTAAGGGGGTAAAATAAAATAGGGGATACAAGTTTTTATGTAAACACGTCATTTTTGAAGCTAGAAGTTTGATTTTATTGTTGAGACTGTTGATTAAATATAAAAACATATGACATTCATTGTTTGAAAAAAAATTACCCGTAAGGGGGTAAAATAAAATAGGGGATGCAAGTTTTTATGTAAACACGTCATTTTTGAAGCTAGAAGCTTGAATCTTATTGTTGAGACTGTTGATTAAATATAAAAACATATGACATTCATTGTTTGAAAAAAAATTACCCGTAAGGGGGTAAAATAAAATAGGGGATGCAAGTTTTTATGTAAACACGTCATTTTTGAAGCTAGAAGCTTGAAACTTATTTTTGAGGCTGTTGATTAAATATAAATACATATGACATTCATTGTTTGTAAAAAAATTACCCTTAAGGGGGTAAAATAAAATAGGGGATGCAAGTTTTTATGTAAACACGTCATTTTTGAAGCTAGAAGCTTGAATCTTATTGTTGAGACTGTTGATTAAATATAAATACATATGACATTCATTGTTTGTAAAAAAATTACCCTTAAGGGGGTAAAATAAAATAGGGGATGCAAGTTTTTATGTAAAATCGTCATTTTTGAAGCTAGAAGTTTGAAACTTATTTTTGAGGCTGTTGATTAAATATAAATAAATATGACATTCATTGTTTGTAAAAAAATTACCCTTAAGGGGGTAAAATAAAATAGGGGATGATAGTTATTATGTTAATTCGTAATTTTTGAAACTAGAACGATGAAACTATTTTCATTGGTTTTTTTGGGGTAGATTTTTAAATACCCCACTAATGTTATGACTATGAAAGTAACTCTGTTTGTCTTTCTGTCAGTCTTACGCTCCAAAACAAAATAAAAATTGAAATGAAATTTGGTACACAGTTAGTTTACATCCGGACAAAGAATATAGGGTACTTTTGAATGTGAAAAAAGGATTGTAAGGGGGTTGCAATGGTACGCTGTATGGAAGAATCGTCATTTTTTAAAACTAGAAGTTTGAGACTCATTTTTAGGCTGTTGTTTAAATATCAATAAATATGACATTCAAGGTTTGTAAAATTTTTACTCTTAGGGGGAGGGGGGGGGGGGGGGTAGTAAAATAAAATAGGGAACGAAAGTTATTGTGGAAATTTGCTGATTGTGTGGTCGTGGAAGCTAGAACGATTAAACTTTTTTCTTTGTCTTTTTAGGGTTAGTTTATTAAATACCATACTGATATTATAAATGTGTCTATATAATGTATTATAAACTTTGTCTGTTTGTCTCGCTTACACGCCAAAAATACTGAACCGATTTAAATTGAAATTTGAAACAGACATAGATAGACTAGATCCTGAGAAAGGACATAGGTTACTTTTTAATGTGAAAAAGGGTTGCAAGAGGATTGAAAGGGTAGATCCAAGGTTATATAGATGTATCGTCATGTTTAAAGCTAGAAACTTAAAATTTATTTTTTAGCCTATTGATTAAATATTTATTTTTACTTTTTATCATTTTTGAAGCTAAAACGATGAAACTTATTTATTTGACTTATATTGTGTTAATTGAGTTAAATATTTTTTCATTATTTACGCGGACGAAGTCGCGGGTACAGCTAGTATCTAAATATATATAACTCAAAGGTGACTGACGTAGTGATCTATCAATGCACAGCCCAAACCACTAGACGGATCGGGCTGTAATTTGGCATGCAGGCAGATGGTATGACGTAGGCATCCACTAAGAAAGGATTTTGATTAATTCTATCCTCAAAGGGATAAAATAGGGGATGAAAGTTTGTATGAAACTTTGTCGATTTTAAACCGATCGGGCTGAGACTTTGCATGCATAAATCTACTATGATGTAGGCATCCCCTAAGAAAGGATTTTGGTAAATTCCACCCCTAAGGGGATAAATTAACGCGAGCGAAGCCGCGGGCAAAAGCTAGTGATCACCATAAGATTCTTTTTTAATCACCATACTGTCCTCACCACAGAACAATGAGGTAGATAGAAAGAGGATGTTAAGAAATTACTTAGAAAGTCACTATCGCCTATGTAACTGCACCGCTTTACTATCTCTGATCAACGCGATGGTTGACTGGTAGGCAATACCATCAGGCATTATGTCATTTTTGTGTGTAAAAGAATCATTACATAGTCTAAAACAAAGACGCTGTCGCTGTATGTCCCTATGTATGCTTAAATCTTTAAAACTACGCCACGGATGTAGTAAAAACGGTTATTTCAATATTACAAACAGACACTCCAATTTTATTTATATGTATGTATGTATGTATAGAGTGTCGATGTGAGCTATGGAATAAGTTTGTAAGTGTGACGACTGTCGGTGGATTTAGTTGGTAAGTTTTAGTTTTCGTGATAAGTAATATGAGGTTTGGTGGACAACGGAGGGTGTGGGTGTGCAGAAGCTGGTGGGAGTGGTGGTGCTGCCGGCCGCGCGCGAAGATGACGACGAGTGTGTGGTGCTGGTGGCCTCGGGCGGCGGCGGCGGCGGCGGCGGACCGCTGCTGCAGGCCTGGCGCGGCGAGCGACTGCACCAGCTGGCGCTGCGACGCGCGCTCGCAGACCTGCACCACCACCACCACGCGCTCGCACCAGGTACAGCCCGGTACACCACGTACAGGTGCTGCTGCTGCAAGCGTCGTGGCGACCGCCTGCACCGCCACCAGTACAACCTCGCGCTACGTGCGGCGCATTACTTGCTTGCCTGAGTCACGGGAGAAGAAGGACGAATCACAGTTATTTCCTGAAGGATTTATTACGATGGGTACTGACCTGATCCCATGCTGATCCTATCACCTTTCTCACCTCGCCAGCGTATGATTATTGCAGGCGGATTCCCCATTTTATAGTACTACTTGACAACCTCAATAGGCTATCGGTTCAGCACAACACTTTACTTCTAAATAGCTCAAGCATATCCCTCGCAGCCACTTTATTTCGTGTCTATTCTTCCAGGCGACCTGAACAGCTTGGAGATAATGGCTCTGGACGTGCATGCGAGCGGCACCGACGGCGTGCTACTACTCATCGCGACTGTTAACATCGCCAGGTCGCCGGAGTTGAGATACGCTATAGGTAATGATGGTTGAAAACAAATGTATTTTAACAAATATGTTCATAGTCTGGAAGACTGATTGCATGATATAGAATGGTGTTACCGTCCCTGTGATACGTTTTAGTGTGATATTAATGTATGCGTTCGTATCGTTGTCGTCGACAGATGGATCGTCATCTTGTTTCCTACTGCAATTAAAAATATTACTTTTGATGATGATGATGATGATGATGATGAAGTTGGTGAGGGAGATGATGACGACAATGGTGATGATGAGGTTGATAGTAGATGTTGTAGTGGTGATGATGACGACGATGATGATAATGATGGTAATGCACTGTGTGCGCAGCCCACGTGTCGCTCCAGGAGATGGCCGAACCGCGCGTGACGTCACTGGTGGCGCTGCGGGGATGGACCGCCGCCGCCCCCCCGCGCCTCCTGCCGCTCGGGCCGCGCGCGCTGCTCTACTCCCCCGCCTGCCTCGCGCTCCTCTCCGGTGCGTAGTACAGTGTGCAGTGTGCAGTGTGCAGTGTGCCGCGCCTCCTGCCGCTCGCGGCCCGCGCGCGCTAGCTCTACTGCCCCGCCCTGCCGCTCGGGCCCCGCCTGCCTCGCGCTCCTCTCCGGTGCGTAGTACAGTGTGCAGTGTGCAGTGTGCCGCGCCTCCTGCCGCTCGGGCCGCGCGCGCTGCTCTACTCCCCCGCCTGCCTCGCGCTCCTCTCCGGTGCGTAGTACAGTGTGCAGTGTGCAGTGTGCAGTGTGCCGCGCCTCCTGCCGCTCGGGCCGCGCGCGCTGCTCTACTCCCCCGCCTGCCTCGCGCTCCTCTCCGGTGCGTAGTACAGTGTGCAGTGTGCAGTGTGCAGTGTGCAGTGTGCAGTGTGCAGTGTGCAGTGTGCAGTGTGCAGTGTGCAGTGTGCCGCGCCTCCTGCCGCTCGGGCCGCGCGCGCTGCTCTACTCCCCCGCCTGCCTCGCGCTCCTCTCCGGTGCGTAGTACAGTGTGCAGTGTGCAGTGTGCAGTGTGCAGTGTGCAGTGTGCAGTGTGCCGCGCCTCCTGCCGCTCGGGCCGCGCGCGCTGCTCTACTCCCCCGCCTGCCTCGCGCTCCTCTCCGGTGCGTAGTACAGTGTGCAGTGTGCAGTGTGCAGTGTGCCGCGCCTCCTGCCGCTCGGGCCGCGCGCGCTGCTCTACTCCCCCGCCTGCCTCGCGCTCCTCTCCGGTGCGTAGTACAGTGTGCAGTGTGCAGTGTGCAGTGTGCAGTGTGCAGTGTGCCGCGCCTCCTGCCGCTCGGGCCGCGCGCGCTGCTCTACTCCCCCGCCTGCCTCGCGCTCCTCTCCGGTGCGTAGTACAGTGTGCAGTGTGCAGTGTGCAGTGTGCAGTGTGCAGTGTGCAGTGTGCCGCGCCTCCTGCCGCTCGGGCCGCGCGCGCTGCTCTACTCCCCCGCCTGCCTCGCGCTCCTCTCCGGTGCGTAGTACAGTGTGCAGTGTGCAGTGTGCAGTGTGCCGCGCCTCCTGCCGCTCGGGCCGCGCGCGCTGCTCTACTCCCCCGCCTGCGCGCTCCTCTCCGGTGCGTAGTACAGTGTGCAGTGTGCAGTGTGCAGTGTGCAGTGTGCAGTGTGCCGCGCCTCCTGCCGCTCGGGCCGCGCGCGCTGCTCTACTCCCCCGCCTGCCTCGCGCTCCTCTCCGGTGCGTAGTACAGTGTGCAGTGTGCAGTGTGCAGTGTGCCGCGCCTCCTGCCGTTCTACTCCTGTAGTACAATGTATAGTGTTCCGCAGCCCACGTAAAGTAACTGCGCGACCCGTTCGTGACGTCGTTGGCGGTGACTCGCTCCTTTAGTGCCCTTTTCAACTGATCTCTCTTAAATCCTGTCGCTGTATGAAAACATTGACAGATCCAAACCGAAAATATTTTTCTGTTTATTTTATTTATAGTTAACTAAGTAATATAATACCAAATTTCTGTCAAACGACATTATAAAAGATTATTTTTGCAGGTACAGTGCCGAATGACAAAGCGGAAGTGATCGATGTGGGCAGTGATGGCGACCGAATACTGGGAGCACAGTTGTGCAACGGAGTTCCATTATTATTCAGCAAGAAGCATGGTGTTCTCGTACTTTCTATCACCGATAGCCTAGGACCGCAACAGTGAGTGTTTCGAAAATAATTTACTTTTAAAGTCTCAATAACTACAGCAAACTGTTAATCGGTTTTTTTATCGATCGCAGAGCGTCGTGCGACAGCCCTATGGGTTCTCCGTGTCCCTCTGACATGTACGACGGCAATCTGTCCCTGTACGAAATCGATCCGCACGAGGTGAGTACAATATCATCTGGCATTTCAAGTAACGAATCGATAATGATATTGGTAAATTAGAATGACTACAATATAATTTGGTACTTCAAAAGGTTTATTATAAAGAACGATACAGGTGGTTTTTTTTTATAATACGGGACAAACGAGTATGCGGTTCACCTGATGGTAAGTGATTACCGCTGCCAATAAGCACACGCAACACCAGGGGTTATTGCAAGTACCTTGTCGACTTTTTAAAAAGGAATAAGCTCTTTTCTTGAAGGTTTCAATATCATATCGGTTCGGAAATACCGTTGCTGGAAGGTGATTCCACAATGTGGTTGTGCATGGCAAAAAGTTTCTAGAAAACCGTACTGTGGAGTACCTCCATTCACCTAGATGATCAGGATGGTATTTTTGTTTCTGGCCACTGTACCACCCAGTGGTGAAACTTAGTAGCTGTTATTAATCCGAACAATTCTTCAGAACATTTCCCGTGATATATGCGGTAGAGAATGCAAAGTTATACAATATCTCGCCGCAGAGCCAATAGGTCGAGTCTGTCACATAGACGACGATAACGATTCTGGCCGCTCGGTTCTGCATTCGGTCAAACGGAAGTAGCGATTCGGTAAAATACAGGTGAGCATGGTGACGACGGACGCGTGCGGCAAACTGAAGACGGCGTTCCTGTTCTACCTGCGGCGCGAGACGGGCGCGTGGCGCGCGCTCGTGGAGGAGCTGTTCCCGGCGGGGAGTGCGGGGAGTGCGGGGAGTGCGGGGGGTGCGGGGGGTGCGGAGCGCGACGTGGACGCGCAGCTGGACCGCACGGTGGTGAGCGTGGCGGCCGAGCTGCTGGACGACATGCCGGCCGGCGACCCGCGGTGGCGGGCGGGGGCGCGGGGCGCGGCACGGGGGGGGGCGCGGGGGGCGCCGCGCGTGGCGCTCGGCAGCTCGGCCGCTCTGCAGCCCGCCGCGCACCTCGCAGACAAGCGCCGCGCCTTCGACCTCCTCCTGGACTTCCTCCGCGCCGCCGGGCTCGTCGACCGCCTCGCACTCGTCTCCGCGCGTGAGTACCGACCCTCGTCTTTGACCCCTCCGACTCATTCATCGATGAGTTAACCCTTCGAACGTTTTGACGCAGATCTGTTCCTCTTAAACCGTATTACCGTGTCACAGATCTGTGTCCGGAAAACCGTGACTTCTTTTTAAACAATTTTAACCTTATTTAAAAGAAAAGATTGTAATGCATCCGAAAAATACAGCTGGCGCGCGCATACCGCCACTTCTCTCTCTCTCTCTTCTCAGTCGCTACGACAAACGACGGACATTTGCAAAATTAAAAGCCGCACGCTCTAATCGATAAAGAAAGATATCAATGTCTTTAATTCGATATCGAATAGATCGAATCAACAGTTCTCAAAATAATAATAATAAGACGTCCTAAAATAAAAAATAAACTTAAGTAACGTGTTTACTATAATCAAAATTTATGTTCAGACATATATAAAAGACTAGATTGTCTAAATGTCTCATCACGGGACTATACACCGTTTACGATACGCATCGATTTCATAAAGTAGTCGATCGATCGTATTGATTGATGTTGTGACCGCAGAGGAGTGGGGCGTGGGCGGCGGCGTGGTGAGCTCGTGGTGGGTGCTGGGCCACCTGTCCGAGCAGCTGGCCGCCGCCACCACGCTGCGCCGCCTGCACCACGGCGCGGACGGACAACTCATCGAGGCCGCCATATACCAGGTACCGTCTAGCGAAATCTATTCTTATCCTATTTATATAAAAGTGGTGGTTCTTAGGCAAATGATAGGTACGACGTTTGAGTGTATACTGCGTGTTTATTATAATAATCAAAATAAATTACAAAATTAATTAAACATTAGAATAGAAAATCATTCATTCAAATAAACGTAATTTAAGCACTTGAATAGTCATAACAATTTGTTTTTTATCTACCACCATTTTAAACGCTTGTCGACAAAACAAGACAAAAATGTACATTTTGAATACTGCCGTTTTTCTATTTAACCGACGATATATTTTAACAAGTACTACCTGACTTACGTGACGTTAGATAAAGTGATTTAACGTACACTGGTACCAATCTGTTATTCTACTTGTTGATTTACAATTACCATATCACAAAGAATATAGCTATCGATAAAATATTTAACTATATATTCAATTGGTTCTAATTTTCGAATTCGAACTATGGTATGGGCTACTAAACTTGGACTTTTTATGATTTAAAAAACTTATGACCATGTCACTATATTTTTGTACCTAGATCAAACGGCTCTTATGATAAATCCTTGTAATTGTCTATACACACTAAAATAAAACAGACTAATGTTTTATATTTGACGTGGTCATTATTTATATGTATAATTAGTAAAAATCACGGGATCTTAACATTGACCGGATTGATCAGTCTACCCGTGATCATGGTAAGTGGCGGTTGAAACACTGCCGAAATATCGGAAACTTAATAAATATAAAACGTGATAAGATCTCGTGATTTTTACTAATCACACAGTTATAGTGTTTTGCTTTATTGTACACTTTCGACGTGTAGTTTTAACATTTGATCCTTCGAGCCGGATTTTATTTTAAATTGATCAAGTATTAGTTTATTTTACGTATTAAAGCCAACATTGTAACCGTAGTTCTTGCTAATTGCGTTGAACAAGTGTTATAATATTTATTATTTGTATACCTTTGAGTTACTCGATATTACTATGTACTTTTTATTACAGTATCTAATCGTTTCACGGCTAGTTACTATTCTAAATTTATTCTTTGTAAAATACCAAAGGGCGAAATTAAATGTATTGTTAAATCATGCATCAGAGTTTGTCACTGACAAATTCCGTCGTGTCCACTACGAGATGCTACTTAATATAAGTAGCAACTTTACTCACCAGTGATGAATGTGAGAATCGTTAGGGGTATCGGAGGTATATCGCAGGTGGTGTGCGGCGAGAGCGGCGAGGAGGCGGAGGAGGAGCCGAGCGTGGAGGCGGCGCTGGCTGCCGGCGCGCTCACCCCCAGCGACGTGTTCTACCGCCGCGTCACGCGCGCCGCCCGCCTCCTGCGAGCGCTAGCACGCGCGCCCCCGCCCGCCGCCGCACGCGCCGCGGCCGAGCACGCGCGCGACACGCTCCTGCTGGTCACGGTGAGTGTCACGCGCGCCCCCGCCCGCCGCCGCACGCGCGCGACACGCTCCTGCTGGTCACGGTGAGTGTCACGCGCGCCCGCGCCCGCCGCCGCACGCGCCGCGGCCGAGCACGCGCGCGACACGCTCCTGCTGGTCACGGTGAGTGTCACGCGCGCCCCCGCCCGCCGCCGCACGCGCCGCGGCCGAGCACGCGCGCGACACGCTCCTGCTGGTCACGGTGAGTGTCACGCGCGCCCCCGCCCGCCGCCGCACGCGCCGCGGCCGAGCACGCGCGCGACACGCTCCTGCTGGTCACGGTGAGTGTCACGCGCGCCCCCGCCCGCCGCCGCACGCGCCGCGGCCGAGCACGCGCGCGACACGCTCCTGCTGGTCACGGTGAGTGTCACGCGCGCCCCCGCCCGCCGCCGCACGCGCCGCGGCCGAGCACGCGCGCGACACGCTCCTGCTGGTCACGGTGAGTGTCACGCGCGCCCCCGCCCGCCGCCGCGCGCGCGCGACACGCTCCTGCTGGTCACGGTGAGTGTCACGCGCGCCCCCGCCCGCCGCCGCACGCGCGCGACACGCTCCTGCTGGTCACGGTGAGTGTCACGCGCGCCCCCGCCCGCCGCGCGCGCGCGCGCGACACGCGCGCGACTGCTGGTCACGGTGAGTGTCACGCGCGCGCGCGCCGCCGCACGCGCCGCGGCCGAGCACGCGCGCGACACGCTCCTGCTGGTCACGGTGAGTGTCACGCGCGCCCCCGCCCGCCGCCGCGCGCGCCGCGGCCGAGCACGCGCGCGACACGCTCCTGCTGGTCACGGTGAGTGTCACGCGCGCCCCCGCGCGCCGCCGCGCGCGCGCGCGACACGCTCCTGCTGGTCACGGTGAGTGTCACGCGCGCCCCCGCCCGCCGCCGCACGCGCGCGACACGCTCCTGCTGGTCACGGTGAGTGTCACGCGCGCCCCCGCCCGCCGCCGCACGCGCCGCGGCCGAGCACGCGCGCGACACGCTCCTGCTGGTCACGGTGAGTGTCACGCGCGCCCCCGCCCCGCCGCCGCACGCGCGCGACACGCTCCTGCTGGTCACGGTGAGTGTCACGCGCGCCCGCGCCCGCCGCCGCACGCGCCGCGGCCGAGCACGCGCGCGACACGCTCCTGCTGGTCACGGTGAGTGTCACGCGCGCCCCCGCCCGCCGCCGCACGCGCCGCGGCCGAGCACGCGCGCGACACGCTCCTGCTGGTCACGGTGAGTGTCACGCGCGCCCCCGCCCGCCGCCGCACGCGCGCGACACGCTCCTGCTGGTCACGGTGAGTGTCACGCGCGCCCGCCGCCGCGCCGCCGCACGCGCGCGACACGCTCCTGCTGGTCACGGTGAGTGTCACGCGCGCCCCCGCCCGCCGCCGAGCACGCGCCGAGCACGCGCGCGACATTCTAGCTGGTCACGGTGAGTGTCACGCGCGTACGTGCCCGCCGCCTAACGCGCCGCTTACGAGTACGCGCGTGTGTTCGGTGTGGTCACGATGAATGCGTGTGTTTTAGCCGCCGCATGATTGCGTGTTCTAATACGCGCGCGACACGCTCCTGCTGGTCACGGTGAGTGTCTCACCGTGACAGTGCGTGCTGCGAGTGCTTTGAAGCGTGTGCTTACTCGTGTTAGTCGCCATTGTTTTTAGTTTATAATAGGGCACCGTTGCATGATTATTTTATTTTGTGTGTCACAATAGTATCTTCAATGTCAAATAGTTCAGTTTTAAAATGTTTTTCTCACTCGAGGCTTTAGATGTGTTTACATTGACTGTTTAATAATGTTACAGAATGTGTTGTCGGAGATGCACCGGTGCCGCGCGCAGTGGCAGGCGCAGACCCCGGACCCCTCCTCCCCCTCCGCCGCCCCCGCCCCCGCCGCCGCCGGCCCCGCGCCCTCCGCGCCCGCCCCGCGCGCCCTGCTGCCCGCGCTGGTCGACCTACACCGACGCGCACTCACGTAATATATACATATACATATAAATAAAATTGGAGTGTCTGTTTGTAATATTGAAATAACCGTTTTTTACTACATACATATGAATATAAATACGGTACATACACCGAAATAACATTTTCTACAATTTTTGTCTGTCTGTCTGTTTATTTGTTCCCGTTAATCTATGAAATGGCTGGACTGATTTTGTACAAACTTTTTTTTGGCAGGTAGCTGATGTAATAAGGAGTAACTTAGGTTACTTTTATTGTAGAAAAATAAAGTTAAATTCCAATCGTACATAAATAAGCCTGGATAATTAACACAGCGCCATCCAGTCCCATGGTAAGCAGAGCTTGTGTTATGGGTACTAAACAATTATTATAAATACTTAATTTTTTTAATGCGTACGTAATATACATGAAAATCACCTCAGATCGATACAAACAATCATACTCATGTATACAAATATTTGCACCGTACGAGGAATCGAACTCACGACCATCAGAAATAAAGCGATGTGCTAAACCGCGAGACCACCGAGACTGTCTCAATATATATATTATGTTTTATTACTGTTAGTTCTTGTTAATATACCGAACCGTTTATGTATTTGAACCCGGCGCGGTGTCATCAGGGAGTGCGGCCGCCAGTGCCCGGACGCGACGGTGCGCGCGCAGCTGTGGGAGGCGGCGGCCGCGCTGGCCGACCGCGTGCTGGCCGACGCCGCCGCCACCACCGCCGCTGCGGCACACGCGCCGCACTACCGCCGCATGCGCACGCAACTCATACAACCCTTCGGTCGGTCCACACACTCGCCCACAATATATTGTAAATCCTAGTCATGCCGGATCCTAGTCATGCGTAGTATCCGGCTCATTCATCATCATCATCACCATCATCATCATCATTATCATCATCATCGCAGCCCGGAAGACGTCCACCAATAGACATCCGGGTCACTGGGCTCCCTAAAGTATGGTCGAGCGCAGTGAAAGCTGGCTCATCCGTCATATGCTCATTAAAATGTACAGACACATAGCGGCGTGGTGGGCCAGGTCATAGCCATACATAGTCGAGTGCAATGATGGCTGGCTCATCCGTCATGCTCGTGAACGAGTGCTGCTCGTAAATACTGGTCTGCTGTAATCACTACGACTGATTTACTCTTATTCAGTTGGTCAACCAATTGGTTGTATATTTAATATTTTCTCTATTTGAGTATTTCATTGAATTAGTACTAATTAGTAGTTTATATTCACACACTTCAACCTAAAAATTTAATGTAACAATAAAATTATTTAAAAGAGCAACACGCAAGTTTCCAATTCGTTCTTCTTGCAATAAAACAACTTTCCGAATAAACGGTAGATTAAAAAAAAATGATATGACTATTTAAAAGTACTTCAATGTATTCAATGATTACTTAATACTACTTATTCAATGATTACTTCAATGATTTTCTATTCTTTAAACTACTCTATTACTTATTTTTAAACTCTATAACAAATGCTCTTAAATTATAATAATCATAATTTCTTTCTGCATAACATTTTAGTAGAGGAAGGTCAAATCGATCGCGCTGCGGCATTGGCGGAAAAATTCAAGGATTTCGAAATGCTAATAGAGATGTGTATGAAAGCCAATGACATGGAGCGCCTATATACTTACATAGACAAGTACATCGACGAGGTAAGTTTAATTTACTTTTCCATTCTTGATAATTTCACATTAAAACTAGTTTAAAAAAAAGTTAGTCATAAGTGGTAAATTACATCAGAATTCAATTTTACAAATAGAACGACTAATTTCAGTGCGTCCTTCTTTTGATATAGCCTTATATATTTAGCATATTTTCTGATTGATATGACATTTACCTTATTGTTAAAGTAGATTATAATCCATAAAATAGTATTGTTTGCATGCACTCTCTGCTATACAAAATTGAAACACGCTAACGTTTCGTTTTGTAGAAAGTCATTTGTAGAACAACATTTTTTGTACTTGTACACCGGCGCCCCAGGGCGCCCCTCCGATCGATCCCCCGTCCAATTCAAACGGGGATCGAAATTACGACGGCCTGAGCCGAGGTTTGAACTCCGAGCGGTGCCCTCAGACTAAAGTCGTATCCGTTAGGTGAGAGTTGAGCCGTTACAGAAGTCCTTCCGCGGGTTTGGAGTGCCATCTGCACTCGCCCCATAACGTCCGGTGAAGCTGTAAAGGCCAGCTACGGCCAACAGCATTAGAGTAGTCCGAAAAAAAAAAAATGTGCTTGTATTTGAAACCGACCAATAAACCTTATATACACGAGTGTAGTGTTTTGGTTTATAGTACCCTTAGAACCTTGTGGTTTGAACACTTATATCATATCCGTTTCCCATATTCCACCAAATTAGAGCGATGAAGTTTTTGTACTCACAAAAATTCATCAGTCTATTTTGGTAACTTCATTATCCTAAGGGTCACTTGAATAATAATATTTTATTTACTTAATTAATTATTTATATGTAATACTAGCTGACTCCGCAAATGTTGTTTTACTATATAATTAAACACTAATCATCATCATCTGCTTCTTCCTTATCCCATTTATTTGGTTCACCCCTGTTCGCAGTCATCGCGTTATTTACTTCCATTCTTACCATATCATCTTTCACACAGTCCATCCATCTCTTTTTTGGTCTTCCTCTGCCCTTATAACCATCCACATTCATTTGTAACATATTTCTTAAAATATTATCCTCGTTCCTACGCATTACATGTCCATACCATGATAGACGATTACTCTTCAACCTCTCTGACACCGGTGCCACTTTCATACTTCCTCTATACTATATAATTAAACACTAATATTGCTATTAAAAAAATAGGGATTGGTGGTTGGTGGTAGAAGAGTGAAAATTTAGGGTTATATGTAATTTTTAATGCCACATTGTAAAAAAAAATGTTTAAAACATAAAAGAATAAATGTGGGTGTACAATTTTTATCGATAAGAGGTATGAAAAACGTAGTCGATTCTCAGAACTATCGAATATGCATATAAAATTTCATAAAAATCGTTCAAGCCTTTACGGAGAAGTATGGTATTTTTCATTGTGACACAAGAATTTTCTGTCTGTCCATAACTTGTCTTGTTATTTTATTAGATATATACAACAGTGTAAACTATAAAGGCCAGTCTTAATTAATATAAAACTATACTAGACAAGTGTGTAATCCTTCATAAGTAAACAAATCCATGTCTCAGGATATGACGGAGTGCGTGCACGTTCGTGTGGCTGGGGTTTCGTACCAATGCGGAGCGTACTTTTTCTATGTAGAGTCAGCGATATGTAGTTTAATTAATGTCAAACTATACTTGACAAGTGTCGACCCTTTTATCTCTCTCTATTATTTTATTGCCGTCCATTAAAAACGTGATGTTTTTTTAAGCCTTTTTTAACCTCCCTTCCCTTTTGGTGATACGTGGTGAGGTTTAAAACTATCACCCTTCTTTCTTTGACTCAACATCACGTGTATTTTAGTATCTACAAGGAATCATAAATTGTTTAGAATATTATCTTTAAGTATAATCTTATTTTATTCTGAAATTTAGGACCATAATAAAAATGTCTAGACGGAAAGATTGCAGATCGTTTTTCATTGGCATAAAATAAATACACGTGATGTCTCACTAGACCCTCTTCTCCCCTTGTATATTTCGTGACTCGTCAAACCCCCTTTCGAGCCTCACGTGACTGACGGACGGCGCCTGCTATCTTTGTACACAATATGTAACCACTCACGGGTGCGCGGTCGGTGGCAGGGCATGGCGGAGTGCGCGTTCGCGTGGCTGTGGTCGCGGTCGGGCGCGGAGCGCGGCGCGTGCGTGCGGCGGCTCGGCGCGCGGTACGGGCCGCGGCTGCGGGCCTGGCTCGCGGCCGCGCCGTCGCGCGACGCCGCGCTCGCGCTGCACTCCATCGCCGCGCGACACCTGCCGCGCGCCGCCGCGCTGCTCGCACGCCTCGCCGCGCAGGAGAGCCGCGCGCTCGGCAGGATGATGGTGAGTGGCCGCGGCTGCGGGCCTGGCTCGCGGCCGCGCCGTCGCGCGACGCCGCGCTCGCGCTGCACTCCATCGCCGCGCGACACCTGCCGCGCGCCGCCGCGCCTGTTAAAGCGCTTTCGCCGCGCTTTGCGCGCTTTGGATGAGAAGTGGCTGCGCTTTATATGGTTGGCTTTAAAGAAAACAATGATGTCTCTCTCTATGCTTGTATCATCGCCGCGCGACAGAACTGTATTTAAACGCGCTGCTCGCATGTCTCGCCGCGCAGGGGAACTGCGCGCTCGTATAGAATCATATCATTTATTTAAAATTTTTATATTTAAAATCAATATTTTTTATAAATTGATACACATGTAATAGATAACGATTTCATATGTTATAACAAAAAATAATGATAGCATTTGGTCAATATCTCTTCCGTCGACTGTACTGTCCGTGTGTGTCCGCAGACGCTGGCGTTATGTTTTGCGCGTTTTAATCGGAAATTTCTATCGTTATCATTTATCCGATTTCTTTATCAGAATCTGTATAGTTTTGGTGCGGCTAGAACATTGGCTCGACGAGCGATCGCGCGTCGGATTTTTTATTATTTATGAATAAATTGCCTCACATCAGCCACGGGCTCGACGAGCTCCACGCGCGCGTGTATTATATATATAAATCGTGCAGGTAACGTTTATCTATTCAGCCACGTTTCGACGAAACCACGCGCGCGTGGTTTTAAGGATTTAAATATACATGAATAAATCAGCCACGTGATAAGATGGGTCCACGCGCGCTTCCGCCGCCTGAGTGACCTCGTGTTGCCCGCAGACGTTGGCGTCGACGTCGAAGCTGTGCGCGGTGGCGTCGGAGGACCCGTGCAGGTAACGCGGCGGCACATCAGCCACGGCTCGACGACGTGGCTCCACGCGCGCGTGGCGCCGCCCGAGGACCTCGTGCCGTGCCTCACATCAGCCACGGGCTCGACGACGGGCTCCACGCGCGCGTGCCGCCGCCCGAGGACCTCGTGCAGGTAACGTGCCTCACATCAGCCACGGGCTCGACGACGGGCTCCACGCGCGCGTGCCGTCGCCCGAGGACCTCGTGCAGGTAACGTGCCTCACATCAGCCACGGGCTCGACGACGGGCTCACGTCATTTACGTGACGTGGCGGTGTTAAGTCGGCTCCGCGAGCGAAAGAATGAAGCAGCCCAGCAAAAGGACCAGCGGACGACCCGAAGTGAGTGGGTTCACCCATCACTGCATATGACACCGCAGGTCGACCGGGTCATAATGCAGGCCAAACTCTATACTGCGACAAATACTAGAATTCAGGCTGCAGTTAGGGATAAAAGTAGGAATCTACTAGACTGCCAGTCCATCAGACCGCCGCCCTCCGTCTGTACACAAACAGTCAGACAGTACGTTTGCAACGACGTGATCACTTGCGACTTGAAGGTCCCAAAAGTGGAGCAATTCGTCGTCCAATTGACGGACGGGCGTGAGTCAGCCAGCTGAGAGATTGTTATTTGTGAAAGGCTGTTAGTAACTTAGTGTATTATAACTTGGTCAACATATGTATAACATAGCCCTGGTTTCCTATACTAAATAAATAAATTAAAAAAATTACAGATGTACATAGAAGCAGATTTCGATACGCTGACTGAATACGACTACAAGAAGGCTCTGGACCTCACCGACCATGTACAGGATATGGAGCGCAGGGACGACCTCCGCCTGAGGGTATGCACCATACAAATATAATTATATTCAATATATAATCTATACATATAAATAAAATTGGTGTCTGTTTCTAATATTGTAATAACCGTTTTTTACTACATGCATATGTCGTAATTTACACTGGACTTAAATTTAAGTTATGTGGTAAACAAACGTAAAGTAAAGTAAACAAACGAAAGGGTGCCGAGTGTTGACACAAATATTGTACATGTGTTTTTTTATAGAATAGAATAGAAAATCATTTATTCAAATAAACTTAATTTAAGCACTTTTGAATAGTCATAATTTTTTTTTTATCTACCGCTCGTTCGGAAAGCTGTCTCATCACAAGAAGAACGAGCAAGAAACTTGTGTGTTGCTCTTTTAAATAATCCTTGTAAGTTTACATTTTTAAGTTTAAGTGTGTGAATACAAACCATTACCAACAAGCACTCAAATTTTTTGAATATATCAATATATATTGGTTATATATGCAATATAAGTTAAACAATAATAAGGTTATGTGATTAAACAAACGTAAACCCGTTACAGTAAACAAACGAAAGGGCCCACCACGCCGCCATAAGTGTTGACACAAAAAATATTGTACATGCCATCTTTTTTTTAATGTTACTATTAACCAAATATATTCAATTAAATTTATTTATTTAATTAACACAATATAAACTTACTTACACATAAAACATGTCAACATCTTATGTTTATGTTACTATTAACCAAATATATGTCCATCTTATGTAGGCATCTTATGTACTTACTGCAATTACATGCATCAAATACATAATGTAAATCATAACCAATAAGGGTTATGATTTACATTATGTATTTGATGTAGTGGTTTGCCGTAGTGGGGTAATAAAGTAGGCGAGTTATTCTAGCGAGGTGTTGTTTGTTTGTCTGCGACAGGTGTGGTGTGCGAGCATCCGGCGGGACGAGTGGGGCAGTGATACTCGGGACGAGCTGCACGATAAGCTGTTCTTCAAGTTAGTCGACCTCGTGCATGTCATGGGTACGCACTGTTTTCTCTCTCTCAGTTTTGGCTTTTTTTATACAAAAATTATTTCGAAGTTATTGTTTAGGTTAAAAATAACTGAGATTATTTGAAAAATACTAAAAAATACTAGCTGACCAGAAAATGGTCTTTTGTCTTATAAATTAATATAGCTCTCAGTGTTGGTAATAAAATAATAATCTCAGGATAATTCACACAGCGCCATCTAGCCACAAATTAAGCTTGTGTTATGGGTACTAGGCAACTGAAACAAATACAGTTTTTTTTCGTAATTACATACATTGAAAATAGGGAAAAACGTCCAGACCGATACTTGAAAGGGTCTCGAAATAATGCTCATGGATAAACATGTTTAATTTATTTTAATTCACAACAAATGCGCGCGCGAGGAATCGAATCTGCGATAGACTCTAATATAATCTGGCTTACGATGTTAAGGTGATTTTGAACACTAAACCGGACCACAAACAATAATACTCATGGATAAAAATGTTTGTGCCGTTGTTAATAGAAGACTGAAAATTTGACGACGGCCTGTTAAAAGAAGACTGAAAATTTAGGAGTTAAATGCAACATCATAAAAAATTAAAAATATTGTCCAAAATGTATAATAAAAAACTGTTGTTTGTTTACACAGGTGGCGACCTAGAGATTCTTCTGCCGCCCGTGGAGGATATCCTGACAGCACCAGAACTGGCCGAGCTGGCGTCCGACCCTCAGTTCCACTTCCTCATCAAGTACGGCTACGAGTCTATCGACACCACGCATAAAGACAAAGCTGTCGCTATGGAAGCGTAAATTGGTTTAATTATACTAATGAATGAAAGACCGAATGAGGAATGAGTGAATGAATTTAATTAAATAAATTACAGCAGGTTAGTATGACTATGTATATTTCCGGTCGATGCTAGTACCGAAGTTGTTTTGACACTGGCTATAAGCTAAAATCAATGTAATCTTTGTATAAGACTGTACATTCATTCATTGGATTCATTCAATTCATTCATTCATTCGACATTTTACTGTACCGTTTAATTTTAAAAACTTTGTTCACGTTACCAAACTCTCTTTATTTAACAGTTTTTTTTGTTCAAAAATTTTGTTTATTCAAAGTATATTATCTGAACAAAATTGTGTACTTAGAATGTCCAAAATATTACAAAAATCGGTACTTAATTATTTGAATTAAAAAAAAAGCTTTTATAGTAATGATAACAAATACTGTACGATTTATATACTGTGTTATGTATACACTACAGCAGTGGTTCCCAAATAGATTTTGCTGCGTACCACTTCAAAAAAGACCTCAAACCTTGCGTACCCCTTATTGTAGCAATCACACTAATATTCTAAATGTTAAAGTTTGTGAGTGTGTATGTTTGTCTTACTAATAACCGCATGTACCCCTTGATGCAACTTCACTTACCCCTGGGGGTACGCGTACCACTAATTGGGAAACACCGCACTACAGTATTTAGGAATCTCGTGATATAAATCATATTATTGTAAGTTTGTAAGTTTGAATGAAAAAGTGCTGTCTGAAATCATCATCATCATCATCATTTTAATACATCGGTCCTGCGCTGCTCGCATGCCTTCCAGCGATCTTGACCAGATCGTCTGTCTGAAATAATTTATGTATAAGTTACGTAGGCGCGAGGTTGCTATTTTGTTATTATTTAGTTAATACAGTATTAATATCGTTGTATTCCATGTATAAAAATGAAAATTCTTAACTTTTTCTAAACTATTGTACTTGATTACGTTATATAACTGTTTCTATACGTTTCAGTTACTATTTCAACTTTTAAATATCCATGATATATAACCAGTGGTTGCACTTGCGAACGAGACAACAACATTTGTCATCTCAGTCATTCATATCCCTTGATACATGTGTAGCCCTGAGACACACTGTCTCTATAAACTATAATTCTATCTTCACGACAAATTGTTTACGGTGTCAGCAGAGAGAACCGAGTGCAGGGCTTATGTACTTATAGTTAATTTTCAACTTTCGTCTTTAATATACATTATTTAAATTATTAACCGGGTCTTAACACGAATAATTTTATGGCAAATAAAGGTATTTACTTCTCTCGACATTTCGACTAAGTTGCACTAGCCGTGGTCACGAGCTGACTGGAGTAACAGCGATGCCAATGTAGATAGGTGACAGCAGTTTTTTCTTCATCTACCGTCACTAGATTGTTTAACGAAAGTTCGCGACACACAGCACTCACGGTATCCGTACACTTATTGACTATTGATGCTACTGAACTTTGCTTGAATTTATTTATGACTGGACTGAACCTAGTCGAAACGTCGAGAGAGGTAAGTAAATACCTTTATTTGCCAAAAAAATACCCGGTTAATAATTTAAATTCTGAACTTATACGCAATTATAGCTTCATTCATAACTCGATTCTAGGCACGGCAGTTTCAGAAACTCTTAGCTTCATTCAATTAGGCAATACATAATCCCAGGCCAAGGGTAATTTATCGTATCATTATAGATTAGTGTGGACCTACCCTAATATCTGCTTACTTCAAGTCAAAAATAATTTATTCATGTAGGACATTTTAGCCGCTTATGAACGTCAAATTATTTATTTATTTATACTCTTTATTGCACCAAACACAGAAAATAATTTAAATGATAGGATTACATAAACTGATAGAAATGGCGGTCTCATCACAACGCAATTTCTTCCAGACGAACTTTGTAATAATATTTTTATAACTAACTAGTTGTTCCCGCGATTACGACCGCGTGGAACTTAACTTTATTTTTCCAAAATAAAATATTTTTTCTAAAATAATAGTAGCCTAAGTTACTCCTTATTACATCAGCTACCTACCATAAAACGTCCCGTCAAAATCGATCCAGCCATTTCAGAGATTAGTCGGAACAAACAGACAGACGAAATTGTAAAAAATGTTATTTTGGTGTACATGCACCTCATATTTATATTTATATGCATGTAGTAAAGAATGGTTAGTTTAATATTACAAACAGACACTCCAATTTTATTTATATGTATAGATTATTATTTATGTAACTAATTATTTTTATTAATAATTTTTCCCTACCTGCCAGTTCAGACAAACTCAACTGATTTTTTTTTTGTTAACCACACACCATCCACTACACAACGTCACTTTACATTAACTCTTTGAACGTTTTGACACAGATCTGTGCACCCCTGCACTCTGCACTCTTATATCGTATTACCGTCATGTCACAGATCTGTGCCCGCAAAAACGTGACTTCCTTTTAACCAATTTAGTCCTTATTTAAAACGAAATAAGATCGAAATATTTGAAATAATACAGCTGGCGCGGGCATTCCTAAGATTACTGATAATTTGATTTTTATTTATTTATTCATCGAAAACAATATAATTTGTATAGGATAACATACAAGATCTAAAACATGAGTAACGTAAACAGTAAATTTTGTTATGTCAGTAAGAATAGAAAATCATTTATTCAAATAAACTTACATTGAAGCACTTTTGAATAGTCATAACATTTTTTTTTTAATCTACCGCTCATTCGGTATGCTGTCTCATCATAAGAAGAACAAGCAAGAAACTTGTGTGTTGCTCTTTTAAATAATTTATTCTTACTTACAATTTAAGTTTAAGTGTGTGAATACAAACTACTGATTAGCACTAATTCAATGAAATAATAAAATAGAAAAAAACATTCAATACACAACAACTGGTTAAACAATTAATAAGAGAAAATAGGTATATAGATAGTGATTATAAGAAAAAAAAAGACAAGTTCTTAATTGAATCTGTATATTGAACTGGACGGTAGCGAAAAAATATTAATACAAAAAACTTCACGTTCATAATGGACTAAAATGTCCTACAGGAATAAATGATTTTTTATTTCATTTGATTTGAAGCATAATGCAATAGGTCAACTGAAGTCTTTATGGCCATCATTATAATAGTCATTAGAAATATATTAGGGTTGTAGGATTTAATTAAGGTCATAATAGGTTTTACTATATATAACCCTTAGAATTTAAGAGACCTCTCGCACCGAAGGCGTAATATTAACGGATTGATACATTAACAATAGCGGGGTATGTAAAGATGTTTTAAGATAATCCAGGAGTTTAATTATGTAGTACTGTTACTAACAATTCCTAATTATAACAGGTTAATACAGGCTAAAACTGGCTCCTAATAAAGATAGGTGACACTGCATGTTGTCAACTCACCCGGCCGGCCAGCGGTGGTTCTGGGCCAGACGGATAAGATCTGCCTCGGTGCCACTGTTAGGCAAATTGTAACATCTCGGCTGGAGTTGTACAAAAGTGGAAATTAAAGAAATATAATAATGTTAAAGTAAATTAAAAAAAGGCACGGACGAATATATCTGTGGAAAGTTGTATTTAAAATAATAAAAAAAAAAACAGGCTAATACTGATGGGTTTGTGATTTAAGAGTTCGAGATCCAAGCTAAGTTATTCATAATTGCTAATATGTAGATTTGAATAAATGGAATTATATTATATTATATTATATTATATTATATTATATTATATTATATTATATTATATTATATTATATTATATTATATTATATTATATTATATTATTATATTATATTATATTATATATTATATATATATATATATTAACTTTTTTAACCTGTTGATGCATAAAGGTTGCCAGTTTTTTTTTTATAGAAAAATGAGGTTTTTAATTATCTTAGATTTAATTGATTGACTGAATATTATATATATTACTGGAACACAAAATAAATCAAACATGTTGATCAGAGCATACCAATGGAAAGGTTTCTTTCACATCAATATTGTTAGTAACAACTATACGTAATTACACCCCAAGTTAGAATTATTTAAATAAGGTAGCTATATAAGATTATATGTAGGTAAAAAATTGATAATGCCACTCAAACTGGGTTATCAATACGCGACATTAGTGGTACTTTCGATGCTAGTTCGGTTTGTGACACGTAAAATCTCGTGCATACATCTGTATCGTAATATATCCGTTACTTTTAGACGAACAAGCAGACAAAAAACCAGGTATAGCAAACAGTATGGCATTAATTCGAAATTCGCGCTAACTGTAAATGTAGGGGTGCTTGTAATAATAATAATAATAAATAACCTAATCTACATTCCACTATAGAAGGCTGTTATATTAGATACATGTACAATAGTCCGTCGCTTCCTAAACGCTACAACAGAATGAAAAGGAAAATCATCACGGCAAATAAAGGAACGAGAGACACCAGGCGTCACAGTACTAATAAACACACACTCACAGAATGAATACAAGAGCACACACACATACACACACTCGGGTGCCCAATCGTGACTGATTGATTGTATCCATTTTGCAATCCTTTAGCGTGCACTTAAAATTTCATTTTGTTATTTTTTAGTTTTTATTATCTCTGAAATTTATAAATTATCAACAAATCTATAATGGGCTTTGCAGTGATTATTTTTTTTAAATACAAAAGCGCGTAAAAACGCCCGACTGAAGTACGTGTGATTATGAGCGCGCTCTTTCTCTTTATACCTTTACATACACAGTCGTTCCCGCCTGAAAACGAATTTGCGAGTGATCGTGTAAAGGCAGCTATTGTAGCCATATTACAAGAGAAGTGGAGAAGAATGGTGAAGAAGCAATGGGGCCACTAGATATCATTACCAACAGCCCCACTCCCCTTTGCAATGTGTGAATTTTATTGGACTACCTTATAACACACTTATCATTATATATCGCCCAATTTACATATCTTTTTAATGTGTTATTCTGATGTATAAGCTATGTTACTATAAAGTTTCGTCAAAATACATTCAGCAGTTTTTGCGTGAAAGAGTAATTAACATCTATCCATACTCAAAAACTTTCGTATTTCTAATATAAGATTATTATTATACTTTAATCGATTCTAGAGAGCTTTGAAAATATCACTCATGTTCGCAATTAAAAATAAAACTCGCCATTCGATGAAGCAAGTCAGACTGATATAGTTGTAAGTTAGTTTGTTAGGGAACTTATAATAAGTATAATATAATGTAACTTCACGGCTGATTTCACTAAAGGGAAAATAACAATAATAAACACTTTATTGTGCACATAGAAGAAATACAATAAAAAAAAAACTTTCTTACAGACAACCTGATAATAGGACTAACGTACACAGAAAAAGTAGATGACACACACAAGACACTATAATTATTAAAATATATAGTCGAAACAATTGCAATCTATCAACGTTGTATTGAACGTATATCTTGACTTACCGACATTTTGCTGAGTACATTTGTAAGATGTTTTTTGTAGCATTGGTGACAAACGAGCATGCGGCTCACCTGATGGTAAGTGATTACCGCCGCCTATGAGCACCCGCAACACCAGGGGAATTGCAAGTGCGATACTGGCCTTTTAAGAGGGAAAAAGCTCTTATTCCGGCCGGCAATATCTGAAACATATTCGTTTGTTTTAAATATACACAGCGTAATGACGAGCCTACCGTATTCTCTCAGATGCTGTTTTATCGGTGTTTCTGTCAACGCAGAGTTAGTTATCAAAATTATAAGTTTTTAATTAATTTCTTAATGTTATTACGCCGTGAATATATATAATTATAATCAAATATTAATTGTTAAGATACTGTATAGTTATAAAATATATAGTTTTTAAGAAGAAGTAAACATTTTGTTAAATACATAAATATAATACAATATTTCTAAATTGAACGTTACACAACAAATACCTCACAGTATAGCGTTTAAGTTCCGCTTCCTGGGTGACAGAGCTTCGCCCAATTTTTTTTTTTGTAAAATAGTTATTCAGAAAAATCTTAAATTCAATATAATTACGCATTTTTTACAGTAAATAGCTAATGTTTCATACGAATATGCTAATCCATCATTAAAAATGCTATAGTACGGGTGTCTGTTTTTAAACGGTTCTTGCCGGTACATTTGACGTGAAGATAGTGTATCTAAGGACAGATATGGGCTATGTTTTATTTAAGAGAAGCAGTGTATATGTATATGTAATTAGTTACATACAAATTGTTAATTTTCGTGTTTAATATACATTATTTAAATTATTAACCGTGTTAAGACACGAATAATTTTATGGCAAATAAAGGTATTTACCTCTCTCGACGTTTCGACTAGGTTGCACTAGCCGTGGTCACGAGCTGACTGGAGCAACAGCGATGTCAATGTAGATAGGTGACAGCAGTTTTTTCTTCATCTACCGTCACTAGATTGTTTACCACGGCTAGTGCAACCTAGTCGAAACGTCGAGAGAGGTAAATACCTTTATTTGCCATAAAATTATTCGTGTTAAGACCCGGTTAATAATTTAAATAATGTATACATACAAATTATTCAATGTATCCAATAAATATGATGTCTTTAATTTGTATAATATTTCCAATTTTCAACTTTTATTAATAGACATTAATGTAATTTAAAGTCAAATTCAAAATATCTTTATTCATGTAGGTCTATTACAGACTCTTGACATATCATAAGTCTGTAATAGACCTACATCAATAAAGATATTTTGAATTTAAATTTGAATGAATGTTTTGTATCCCTGTTTATTTTTAATTAAAGATTAAATTCTGTATACATGTGTTTTTATTCATCCCCTTTTGCGTTTTAAACCGTTGTTTTATTACGTAACGCTGGTTGCTAGAAAATATTATTTTTAACATTAAAATGTACGCTTTTCTGAGGCACATATTTTCTCCACATAGCATTTACTAAAACGGTGTCTATGGTCTTTAAACGTTAAACTCTTTACTTCCAATAGTCGCACTTTCGATTCCTCGTATTCTAGAATATAATTGTTTGTCGCAGGTTCGATTCCTCGTGTTTATGAATTATGTTGTTACGAACGATCTAAGTGTTTTCTGTGTATATATCGTTGGTTAAATAGAAAAATGTACATTTTTTACAAGACAGACATTTAGTTTTTAAATTTATTTATATTATTTTTTCCTTTAAAGTTTTAAATTTACATAGAAGTATTGTATATCATATTAAAAGTATTTAGATAATGATTAAGACGGCGTGGTTAATTTAATTAACTTGTACAAAAGGAGGCAATTCTAGCTTCTAATTTTGAAAAATGACATTTTTCTATTCAATCTACGTACCTATGTATTTACAACAAAAAAAAATATCGTAAGTATTTATAAAAGTTGTTTAGTACTCACAAAAGCACGAGCTCACAGCTTAGGACTAGATCGAGATGTGTGAATAGCAAAAATAGCAAGAATAGCAGACATGCATCCATCTATCCATACTCACCAACTTTCACGTTTATAACATTACTAAGAGGGAATCGGAGCGGAAGACGCAGCGTGGGAAGGCCTCCAGCAAGGTGGACCGACGATCTGGTCAAGATCGCTGGAAGGCATTGGATGCGAGCAGCGCAGGACCGATCGACGTGGAGATCTTTGGGGGAGGCCTATGTCCAGCAGTGGACGTCTTCCGGGTTGCGATGATGATGATGAATGAAACTAGTAATATACCATGTCAGGTTGACCTCCACGCGGTCCCCCCTGGACACCATCGTGATAAACTCCTGGTGAATTTGTCACTATGGACTAATTAACCTGACCTCATGCTCATCTTATCATCCTCCACTGGTGCCCCGCCAGCGTAAACCGTTAGCGCAGGCGGGTGCACTATTCCATTATCATACACAAAAAAAACATGAAGTTATATTGCACGATCTTTTTTTTTTATCTAAATTTAATTTGGGGTTTTTGTTTTCAGACATGTCAACCCCATTATTACAAACTAATCGGAAATTCTTAAAAATAATAAACAATTAAATAATTACCAACTGCAAGGAGTATATTTATTAAATTGCTTTTATCAGCGCACACAAACACAGAGCAATATCAGTAGTAGATTGCACGATTTAAATCTACAATTATTAAACAGTCCATACATAATCACATTACATAATCACTACCACTGTTTCAAACGACAATTGTTCGCAACAACGTTACATAATTCAGCCTCTGTTACAATACAACAAAACCGCCACTCCGTCAGTCATCAGTCGGCGACAGGCCACCGCTCGTACTGACGCATGCGTATTGCGCGCACTCATTCACGTATTTGTTTACCATCATAACTACACGCGGCTCCGAGTGAAACACTTGTCTATTATATATAAAAAAACCATAAATATTATTATATGTGCCTTCTATAATAGAATAATAAAGTTTTTGGATTCTGTGACAGCGGATTTTGTCCGCATTTCGTGCCGGTCGATCACGTAATGTAAGTAATAGTTTTATTTATAACTAATCTAAATTATATCTTAATCTTAATAATATTATCGATTTGACGACCTCGGTGATCTAGTGGTTTAGCACACCGCCTTATTTCCGATGGTCGAGGATTCGATTCCTCGCACGGCACAAACATTCGTACTCTTAAATATAATTGTTTGTATCGGTCTGGGTATTTTCTATATGTATGTATTTACGAAAAAAAATATCTATGTATTTGTATCAGTTATCTAGTACCCATAACACAAACTTAAGCTAGATTAACTTGGGTCTAGTTGGCGCCGTGTAAATTGTTCTGAGTTTATTATATATTATTATAAACGCGAAAGTTTTTATGTATGTTTATTACTCTTTCAGGCAAAAACTATTGAACGGATTTTGATGAAACTTTACAGTAATATAGTTTATCCATCAGAATAACATTTAGGCTATATTTTTTATAGAAATTTAACGTGAGTGAAACCATTAGCACAGCTAGTTAGTAATAAATAGTAATAATATATTTTATTGGTGTGAAAAATATCAGTAATTATTAGTAAAGAGGTGTATATGGGACGAATTAACACATTGAGATTTTTGAGCGAATCAGTGACTAATTTACACCAAGCCTTTTGTATATCTATCATTTATCTCTAACTTTCTATAGTGTTATATTATAATCCCAAATTTATTTTTTGTGACTAATTATATGAGGGCAAGTTAGCTTCCAGTTGATGGTAAAGAAAATTCGAAAAAACGTAGAATTTTAAATTAATTTCATGCCATGAATGATTTCGAGATGAGAAAAACTGACAAGAAACTCAATTCGTATTCTTTTCAAATAAATGTATGTTTTATTTATTGGCTTTTGATATTTGACTTCATCCTCTTTAATCCCTCACTGGTACTCCGCTAACGAGGGATTAAAGGTATTCCGTTATCATGATTCTTAAAAAACACTCCGGTAATAGAAAAACCGATAACTTAGTGACGATAGTTAATTTTTCTGCCACGTTCAATCTATATGTACATATTTAGCTAAATGTTTTAAAGTTGCATTCTCTTTGACTACCCCATTTAATATTATAGGCCTGAAGATATATTTTTAATTATTGCTAGCGACACGTCCTTCGCACGGATGCGTTACATTCAAATCCACGCCATGTTCAACAATATGTTATCCTTCCAAATATTGTCACACAATACAAAAATATTCAACATGTTATTTTATCTTGTAATAACAATAAAGAAACTTATATTATGAAATTATTTTTAATATTATTATATAACTAGTATTTACATAACCTAATTGTACAACTAAGAACCTAATTTTAAAAAGCTTAAAAAAAAAAAAATTTTTAAGCTTTTTAATTTAAAAGGGTTCCCTTTAGGCAACGTTCCGAAGATACTGGCAGCGTTCCCTCTTTGAATAGCTAGACTAATTCTTTGTCCAAGGTAGCTGCCAGCCCTTCGGTCTTTTATCTTGTTATATTTTTATATTCTCATTTAAGTCAATTTTTTTTTTAATTTAGGGACATTGACACCTTGTGACATTTTGTCAACCTTAGGGCAAACATAAGTGGGCAGTGCATTTAATTTAAAAATAAAATAAAACAACAATTTGAAATAAATTATGAATTCAATTAAATACGTAATATTTAATAAACAATAACATCATACATAATCAATATAATTATTAAGACGTTAAACAAAAACTTTCAACTTTTACGAAAATCGCGCGGACGGAGTAGTATGAAATTTTGCACACTTATAGCTTCTTTTTTGAATATTAATATTTTTTAAAACTATGCACAGTAAATACCAGGGATGTTAGGGAGCTCCATAACCGTAACCAGTTTCGATTACGGTTATCGGATATCCGTTATAAAAAATATATTCGTAACCGTAAGCGAATCCGAAACAAAAGTTTCGGATAATATCGGATAGGGGCGGAGCCTAGTTGACACACGTTATGTAAATATTTTATTAGCTATTTGTATTTTACTTACATCCATAACCGAAAATATCCGAAATATCCGAAATAATTTCACATCCGCATCCGGCCATATAATAATCATTCCTATATCCGAAACCTATCCGTATCCGATATTTCGTATCCATAACATCCCTGATAAATTCCTCATATATACATTAAATCAATAATAAAAAAACTACACACACGGTAGTGAATTCGACACACGTGTGTGTACACTGTTATATATACATTATACTATTACTATATAACTACTATGTACTATACTTCTATGTAGAAGTATAGTATATAGTAGTTATATAATAAAATACGTTATATTATAACATGTTATATGAGAAGAGAGCAACGCACAAGTTTCTTGCTCGTTCTTCTTGTGATGAGACAGCTTTCCGAATGAGTGGTAGATTAAAAAAAATGCGATGACTATTCAAAAGTGCTTCAATGTAAGTTTATTTGAGTAATTGATTTTCTATTCTATTCTATTCTATATCTGGAACTCATTCCCTGAACGCATTCAAACTATCTCCAAAAAGTATACTTTAAAAAAAATGTTCATAATCATCTTTTAAGTTTATTGTCACAGAACAAGTAATGCATTCATCATATTAAATGTATATATATATATTATGTATTGTATGTTGTGTATATATGTTATTTATATAATTAATGTTAAGCCAACATCAAGTATTTCTGCACTTCCTGAAGGTTGACTGGTAGAGAATGCCCATAGCATTAAGTCCACCTTTTGTACCATAATTTATTGGTCAATAACGTTTTAAATAAATAAATAAATAGACAATATTTTAACAAATATGGACAACCCAGCCGATTCTGGAATAAATTGTTTCCGTATATATTTCTGGCATACTTAGGTGATACAGTCAAACGATTCCAGTCAATCCAGTCGTTGTCTTTGGTTTACAATCGCGATATAGACCCAAATGTCTATGTCGCTATTGTAAACCAAAGGCAACGAAGCTCTCACTCGACTGACTAATCCAGAATTACACGTAAATTGTATTAATCACGAACTTACCACAAATAATTTCTTTCCCTATAGTATACTAATATAATCAAATAATGATGCAGTCACCGAGATTTTTCTGGAATAGTTCAATAACCTATCCCCACTTAAAGCAATAAATGATTACACATTGAAATTTTCCAATTTTTATTGCGTAATTTTCATAATATTTAGTTTTGTAAGAACCTTCTACAAAGCATTAGAAAACAATAAATATAAAAGTTAAATGTTATCAGTAAAGTTGTTTCTCAAATTATTACTTTATTAAGGGTTCATTATTCTATTTATATATAACTAGCTGTCCCGGCAAACGTTGTTTTGCCTTAAAATTAAAAATAAAAATTTAGGGGTGGACTACCCCTAACATTTAGGGGGATGAAAAATAGACGTTGGCCGATTCTCAGACCTACTCAATACGCTCACAAAATTTCATGAGAATCGGTCAAGCCGTTTCGGAGGAGTATGGGAACGACAACTGTGACACGAGAATTTTATATATATATAAGACAACTAGTTATGCGCCCCGACGCCCCGTCGCATTTGAACATGTAATATACATATAAACTTCCTCTTAAAAAACTCTATCTATTGCTAAAAATCCGTTGCGTAGTTTAAAATATCTAAGCGAAGAGACAGCCGTAGAGATTTTATTTTATACTATGTAAAAGATAAGGTTTGGGTAAAACATTTAACGGATTCGTTTTCATTATTATTATAGCTTTATTATTCCATAATACATTTATAATATTTTTAGTTCAATAATTTCTTTGTATGGCCCCCAAATCAAATAAATAATCATTTATTCATAGTTCATATTATTTATTCATTTCGGTCATATTCATTTATTTGTTTATTCATATTCATAGGATATTTTAGCTATTTTTTTTTGTATTTGTATTTTTTCCTATCGTCTTACTTATGGGTAAAAACCTTGTCCGTCATATTCAAAATATCTTTATTCATGTAAGTTACAGACTCTTATTAACGTAGCCTAAGTTGCTCCATATTACATCATCTACCTGCCAATAAAAGTCCCGTCAAAATCGGTCTAGCCATTTGAGAGATTAGCCTGAACAAACAGACAAAACAGACAAAAATTGTAAAAAATGTAATTTTGGTATATATACCGTATTTATATTCATATGCGTGTAGTAAAAAACGATTATTTCAATATTACAAACAGACACTCCAATTTTATTTATATGTATAGATAACGGGTGATTAATTTGTGAGTATTACAAATTGACACGTTATATAAACCGTTTAGTTTACCCATAACCGTGAACTAGTTACAAATGGTAACGAGCCAGGTAATACAATACTTTTCTCGTTCAACAATCACTGGCAGCGTCCTCTGTGCCTGCTCGAGCATGATCATGCGTTAACACCAACAGTTAGTACCTACTTATAGTCATAGCACATTTTTATTTAATTTCTTTCGGACTACTCTAATGCTGTTAACCGCAGCTGGCCTTTACAGCTTCACCGGACGATAATGGCGAGTGCAGATGGCACTCTAAACCAATGGAAGGACTTATGGAGCGGCTGAAGGCCAACTCCCGCCTGACGGATACGACTTTAGTCTGAGGGCACCGCAAGGTTAGGTAGATGGCAATTTCTGTCCCCGTTTGAATTGGACGGGGGATCGAGGGATCGGGGGATGATAATGGAATGGTACACTTGTCCTAACGATTTATGCTGGCGGGATACCAGTGGAGAATGAAAGGACGATCATGAGGTCAGGTTAGCCCATTGCAAATTCATTAGAAATTTATCACGATGGTTTCCTTGGAGACCCGTGTGGTATAGGAAGTTGCTAGCGATGGAATCTTAGACCACATTACTAACAATACCCTTCTCCCAGTCATAGCTCATTACCGGCTCTTATTGTGACGACCTCGGTAGTTCAGCGGTTTAGCACACCGCCTTACTTCTGAGGGTCACGGGTTCGATTTCTCCCACGGTACAAACATTTCTATTCATGAGTATGATA